CGGCCGCATCATGTGTATCTAGAGATGCATTCGGCATTATGTGTATGTACAGGTGCAGTCGGCCTCATCATGTGTATCTTGAGATGCAGTCGGCCTCATCATGTGTATCTAGAGATGCAGTCGGCCTCGTCATGTGTATCTAGAGATGCAGTCGGCCTCATGTGTATCTAGAGATGCAGTCGGCCTCATCATGTGTATCTAGAGATGCAGTCGGCCTCATCATGTGTATCTAGAGATGCAGTCGGCCTCATGTGTATCTAGAGATGCACTCGGCCTCACCATGTGTATCTAGAGATGCAGACGGCCGCATCATGTGTATCTAGAGATGCATTCGGCATTATGTGTATGTACAGGTGCAGTCGGCCTCATCATGTGTATCTTGAGATGCAGTCGGCCTCATCATGTGTATCTAGAGATGCAGTCGGCCTCATGTGTATCTAGAGATGCAGTCGGCCTCATGTGTATCCAGAGATGCAGTCGGCCTCATCATGTGTATCTAGAGATGCAGTCGGCCTCATCATGTGTATCTAGAGATGCAGTCGACCTCATCATGTGTATCTAGAGATGCAGTCGGCTCACGTGTATCTAGAGATGTAGTCGAGCTCATGTGTATCTAGAGATGCAGTCGCCCTCATGTGTATCTAGAGATGCAGTCGGCCTCATGTGTATCTAAAGCTGCAGTCCCCTAAACGTACGACAACAGTGATAATGTATTATATTGGTGTCCTCCGTGTAACTATATTTCTATGCATAAATCCTAATGTCTTCCTGCCTGGTACCAGATGTGCAACATGTTGTAACCAAGCCTACCACTCTGAGTACAATTGATGTTCAAAACAATTGCTGAGGTAATGTTCCACATGCTAAGAAGAGATTGGTGTGAGATTGACATTACAGAATCTGTTTGACCTAAATCGATATGGTCCCAAGGCGGCCAGAGTACATGGCCGGACTTGCAACCTCAAGTTAGAGTCATGTTGAAGAATAATGCAGGGATGCCAGGGTGAAGCCCGGAGTGGAGTATTTTCAATGTCCCAGCATTGTAAGTCCACAGCCAGAACAACTCACGGCAGGAATAGATCAAGGCTAACGTCTTTAAGTTACGGTGTGTCTTGGAGGACACACTAGGCTCATTATAGTGTAGTATTGAGACATCAATACAGGTTGGGTCAATGGGAAGCCCTCGCTGTGCCACTGAGCACCCAGAAATAATTCCAGGCACACACTCGACAGCTTGCCGAACCCGGGAAGTCTTGACAAAAAGTGTCCCCCAGTCACATTACCTCGGGGTAATAGATCGTGCCTATTGGGTAACTAGGGTGACTTTTAGAAAGAGAAACTTAAGGCTTAATTAATCAATTCCAATTGCTGCACAGAATGAAATCCATTGATTTGTGCGTTTCTTCCTCATTACTGGCCTGGCGTCGGTTGGAGTAGCAAACATAGTCTATTCATTACACAGTCTCCAGCGAGTCCAGATGGCAACGCGGGCTCAAGCAAGGTCTTGTTGGGCCTAAACGACTCGCTGGACGGCCGAGACTTCAGTCAACGACTTAATAGAGCATTGGGGCATCAATCATATCGGATCAATCTCAGCGGCACAAGTAGAAACAAACTTGAGATTGACTAATGGTTTCCTGGGCAAAGAGCAAAAGAACATCTCCTTCTGAAATGTGGCTGTTGCTGGTAAACAGCAGAAGACGGAATATGAAAAAACCCATCTGAAGTTATTGGAGATTATTTCACTCAGATAGCCACGCACATGCACGTGTATTTGGCTTCTAGCAGACGTCAGGACGTCTTAATGCTAGTCCACTGCTAGCCAACCATGCTGAAGTTTCCTAATGTTATCCCCACCGAACCACCCCGTTTCCGCTCTCTCTTTTAAGATGCTCAATCCACTCCTAAACTTTGGTGGTATTTGCGTTTTGAACTGATACTAATAGACAATACCATTGCTGCTGGTAGGGTGTAACTATCATATGAATAATACCAGTGATATGTAGCCTTGTACCACTCGCATCAACATCGCAGCAATGAGCTCCGCAAGAATATTAAATACACAAAGTCTTAAAGGTCATGGTTCAAGTTTGTGCGGTTTATACGAGGTTGATATTTGGAATTAGTAACAAAACGTCATATCCAAGTCTCTGGATGAAATGTCACTAACTCTCACAAATACGAAGTTATGATAGATTGAAAACTAACATACAGGCTTAAGTCTGTAAAAGGCGGACGCGGCAATCACAAAGATGTAGCATTGCGTCTGTTGCTTGTGTTGCGGAGGGGTGTTTATTGGTAAAACCAACACACGTATAGTGAAGCATCACGAAGCAACACGAAGCGCACACAGGGGCACAACAAGACAAATTAATATTGTTATCGATTTTACATCAAATGTCGCCCAACACCAGAAACTCACACTCGTCCATTACCAGAGAGGCATCTTTGTTGTTAATTCACCGTCATGCCGCCTTGCTTACTTTCACTAAGTGTGCTTTGATTGCATAACACGCTGAGAGAGAGCATGAGTGAGTGAACGTTTTACATCGTTTATCGTGATGGAAACATAACAAAATGGGCTTCACGTACTGTGCACATTTAGAAATCGAACCAAGATTGTCGGCGACAGAACAGCATGCTTAAACAACACGACTACCCCACCGCCCCCAAATAATACTGATGGAAACGAACGACCTTATCATAACTAAGTCTACATGATTTGCAGTAATATATGAATTCTACAAACAAGAGTTCTCACTCTCTCAATGTAGGCTCGGGAGTAGCACTGTCCCGCGTAAATTACAGGTGCTGTGATGTGAAATGGGGTTTAACCTCCTGCTCACACAGATTAAAACTTGGTAGAAATAACGTTAAAACTGCTGGGGTGGTAACTGATTCTTACAGTGGAAGCTGGTACACATATAGCATTGCCATTTACACAAGGTAACCCATAAACACAATGAATACTAAACTGATAGTTCGCTATCATGGCTCTTGGTGAATTGTTGAGTATTGACTTCGCTCTTAATACGTGACACAATCACATTGGTTATTGTATTTCCATTCGTAAAAAGAACACATCGTTTTAAGATTACGATATACAAGACCAGATCGAAAACACCAAACAAACAGAACTTTATGCTTTCCTTGCAATGCTTGTTCATCTCATCTTGCGACCTAAACTGCTCATTTCCTCGTCCGCCCTTCGTCCTATTTCCACACGCTTTTATCTTGTAAGCAGAGACTGATAAACATGATAAAGGGGGGTTGTAGGAACGACAAAGCACATTTACATCTGCGGCTGGCTACGAATCACACAATATTTTACATCTAATATATCAATCTCTTTTTTCCAAATACGTTTGCTTTATTTCATCAAAAACATCTTCCTTCGATATTCACTTTCGATGACATAAAGTATGCATATTTGGGTGTACCTGAATGAGAAAGAGATTGCTGTATCAACTAATTGGCCTGTATATCGGGCAATGCGCATTGGCAATATTATGTATGGGACGATTCAATAATATCCATGAATTGATGAAAGGGTGGAGGTAACTGCAGCTGCACAGAAACATGCTAAAGGAGGATATTTGTTACTCGTGGATGTGCTACCCGGGCAACAGTCTATATGTCCTATTTCACAAGGAAAGCTAAACAGCATATGTGTATTCCAGACAATATCGGATACTTTCTTTAACAGCACATGTCCACGCCGTTCTTTAGACGTGAACAAGGGGTGCACGTTAAGATGTGTCTGTTGTCTTTGGTTACGGGTACTCTAACTAAGAGCGACCCATACACTGGGTAGATATGTTTACAACGTTCTGCGTACGTATACCTGTATATTTCTGTTGTGAGCTATTGTAAATCAATATTTTTGTACCGTACCCGTGAAGATCCGGATTAGAATTGGTCTTCAGCCATGCTTGTCAATGAGTTGTCATAAGAGGCGGCGAACGGGATCGAGTTATTAGGCTTGCATCCTCGATAATCGCCAGGGTATACGTTACGATAATTCTAGTGGTGATTTATCGTAACGTATACCCTGGAGATTATCGAGGATGCTAGGCTCGTTGACTTGGTTGACACATGTCATCGTATCCCAGCTGCGTTCATGCTGTTGATCTCTCGGTTTTCTACAGACCGCTGCCATAAAGCTGGAATATTGCTGCGTGCAGTGTTACACAACAAACAAATGTTTGTGTCGTCATGTTGAGCATCTTTTGCCAGGCATCCACCTAGCATGTCATGGCTGACATGGTCAGAAAGCCTGTATTCCTACCATAAGCGCAAGCAGTCGTCTCCCTTGTCAGATTACAATAACACAATCAGCCTGATCCCGCGTCCTAAACCCACGTGTTTCATTAGTGAATATTGAGTGAGGATATATGGTTTTATGCCGCTTTTAGCAATATCCGGGTGTGGGTGTTTTGGGGTGTGTGGGGTTAGTGATTAACCTCTAGGCTACCCCACTGCCCTGTGTTTCAAAAGTAAAAACGTTCCATAGTAATCTCTTTCCACAAGCATAGGGTACTTGTTGGGGGCAGTCAAGGTCCACTGCTGTTATTGGCGACAGCAACAAAGACTCCCGTGGTCGTCTCTGCATGAACTTCCGTGCATATGTTCTGTATTGATTAGCTCCTGCACAAATTAATCTTCACGAATAATGTGCCCCTCACGGACATTTAACAGGATTACAATATACGTTCGAGGCCGATAGAGTATTAATTAACCACAACATACACAAAAATGCCCCTTACTCATGGCACCTTCGCGTGGGGCGGCTTAATAAGTAATATGATTACTGCAGCTGGTATCGTCAGCTACAGAACAACACATGCAGTATGTGATGAAGTATCTTGTTTCCATATGCCCATATGCACGGGTAACATCAGGAGCGGGTGTAAAGCTATGAATAACCTGCTGATATTTAATGAAGTCTCACAAAAGTAAGTCATAGTTCAAACAGCAAAAGTATAAGTGTATATACGCACCTGACTTATCCGATTAAAGCCATACTGTTTGAAGCGCTCGTCGTACAGCGGCATGCCTTTAGCTGCGATGTAGAAAGGTTCCCAAGAATATTTCCAGTTTACATGATAAGCCACCTGCAGCTCTTTTGATGGTGTCAAAGACAACCATTTGGGATACTTACTGAAAGCCTGACACGGACTACAAGGGTCAATGTAGAAGGGTCTCACCTCGGCCCGTTCCAGTGCACCCACTAATTCAGGCTTAGTATCAGGAACTTTGACACCCTCCTTCACTTCAAATACTGGCACCACAAAAGCTGTTCCCTTCGTTTCATTTGCCCGCGCTTTTAGAGCTGTGCGCCATAGATAGAGGAAGTCCCCATGAAGATTTTCCGATGGAATCATATCAATGTCGACCATAAACACCATGGATGTTTCAGAGTTTTTTATTGCGAGGTTCCTGAGTAGGTTCTGTGGGTATTCTATGCCCTCTATTGCATAGTTTGGGGCCTTCTCTCCAGATACTGGCATGCCTTCCTCGCACGAATTCACAGATTTCCAGCTCACGCTCAAAGACCGAGGGGCACGTTCGAGTGGATACACCAAGTGAAAAGAAGTTTTTTTACGAATTTGTTCTCTGCATGAATAAAGTTTCACAATATGGTTAAGTGCTGTTTCAATATCATTGTCGAAGGTGAACACGGTCACCGAAATCGGACCATCCCACACTTGTGAAAGATGAGATAAATGATGTAAATGGTTTGATGAACACTGTGTGGCAATTGCCAGATCGTCTGTATTTTGGCCGGATCCATGGCCCTCTGCGGTGAGGAGGTTCGCTATGAGGTGATACGTACCACTGTAGTCCAGTCTGTGAGAGTTGCGAACCTTTTCTTCCATGTCGTCGGAAATTTCTGGTAGAGTCTTTACGTTTAATTGCCGATCAACAGGTCCTTTGTGTCGGTTCAAAGCCTCTTTTGCCTCGAGTCGTGTCAATAACGACATGTGAAACACCTGCAGCACTATCACGAGGAATACAAGAAATATAATAAACTTTCCTAACCGAGACCTTTGGAACATCGCAAACATAGCCATTGTCTTAGGTTCCCGGTCTTCAGTGTAATTGTCCTGTTCAGCTCGGGTAGCATTGGCATCAATCAGTTACCGTAGGTTGTAGTCTCATAAACATACGAGGTCTGAGGTCCCGTGAAAGAAAACCTTACATCGACAGAAAATCATTAAAAAAATATAAAGAACTGACTAGCGATTCCTTCGGAAAATACATATCGCCGCCAACTGTTTCGTATATCGTCTGCTAGCGAAGCAAAGGGACAGGTGAAACTCGTACTCTGTCTGTCCGGTGAGATAACGTCCCAAGTAGGTTCCATTGAGTACCATCACTCGGGATAATCCAACTGACTACATGTTATCCTCACAACATTGATTTTTGCAACATATTAGAATAAGTCGAGGAAACAATCACCACCAATTTCCACGAACGCGATAGTGGCAGAGCTCTGAATCCCACTTCGTCTCGCTTCGACTAACGCATCATTCTCATCAATGTAGGGTGTCGTTCACTACTGCCCAGTCACAATTGATTCAAAGATACACAGCACACGTGGAAATTTTCCCTTGATGCTCCGCACTCGGACACACCGCGTTCCAACGATGATTGTTTTGCTTCTGTGTGATATGTCCGGATCCAGCATTGAAATTTATTTTGATCCGAGCCCAATATCCGGACATGCGTACAAGAGATTTCATGACGTCACGTGAAATAACATGGCTGCCGATCAGAGGTTTTGTTGACATTGTAAGAGGTGATTGACATTTGTGGTGTTAATTCTGCTAATTAACCAGTTTGTTTAACCCGCCACTGTTCCGACATCGGACGGATCGAGAATAATCAAGTGGCAGTGGTAACATGCATTTTGTGGCGTCTTCGAGAAGGTAATATGTGTGTTTATGGTGCTCGTGTCATCTTGACTGTCTGTTGTCTAGCCTATATTTGAAGATTCCTAAATTAAGACATTTACGATGTCGTAACAAGTATATTTCTCACATTCACCTGGTTTCTCTAATGACCTTTTTGTTAATTTCTACGTGATAAAAATAACAGGTCTCCTATCATGTTGGTCTTTACTTATTACACCAAAAGGCAGGTTTAGGTACTGGTATGTAAATGTTCAGATTTACAATCTCAGCTGCATATATGTGTTTGTGCTTCTGTTCTTGAATAGATGGAAATAATATACTTAAGACAAAATATGTGCGATGTGTTATTACTAATTTGTAATGTTACTGTCTTAGGATCTAGCAAGTAGGACAACTGAATGTTGACAGTGTGCTCATGTTTTGTAGGAATATTCTACAGTACACTCATCCTCTGTATACATGTTAAGGCAACAGTTGTTGGATACAGCTTTGTTTAACCCTTGTTCGTGAGTTTACTCTTCTACTTTGATGTTGTCAGCATATTTATCTCGTGAAGATGTATACAATGGAAGATAACCCCATGAATTCAGATAGTACTATTAGTAGAATTCTCAAAGAAATCATGAAAACTAACAAATATGGATTTATGAATTAAGGAAATATAGTACTTGTTACATGTTGATTTTCCAAACATGCCAGTTCCTTAGAAGGTGGGGAATGGACATCCAAACTAACACCCCGTTTCTCTGTACATCTTTACGTCATAAAAGTGTTTGGAAAGTCATGTGAATCATGAATATGACTTAGTTTTTATTTATCATCAATCCTTGGCCAAGGTAGAGGCGGTTTGGAAGCGTAGAACAGAGGTACAGATAAGCTGCGTATCTGCGTAAATTACGCAAATATTTATGCAAAAACTCAATTCCTATTATGTCTATTGCGTACAAGTATGCTTGAATTTTTGCAAATACTCAATAAATTTGATCTTACATGCGTGCATGCAAAAATGTCAAATTTTAGCCTGCGTACGGCGAAGTAGTTCCTGTCACCAAACCTACTAGAATTTGGAGTAAGCAGACCCATGTGCTACAGATGAAGGTTACTGAGGATAGATAAAATAACTGAGGTACATTGTATATTGAGAAGTTATGTTTCAGCACATGAACTTGGTAGTTTGCAGTCTTTCTTATCGTTTCTCATATTACAGATCAAATATGAATAACAAACACGTAAACCAACATTTAAACTTCATTATATTTTTACAATCAATGGAAAATGGCAAAATACCCAATTAAGTTTGAGTAAGGTGGGTACAATTTATTTGGTTACTCAAAGGAAAATTAGGATACCCAATTGAGATGAACTCAAGCGAGTACATAACTCAATGACTCTAAAGGTTATCTGTAGCTCTGCGAGAGATGAACGCATTGGGTTTAATTCCTCTAATGGGTACAATGTGTGAAGCCAATTTTTTATGTCCCCGCAATAATATTGCTGGCATATTGCTAAAAGCAGTGTAAAACTAAACTCCTAGATAACTATATGAGGTAGGGGGAGCTACTATTGTGAGACGAACTTAAGAATAATGCCGACCTGTCATTTGAACCTGTGAATCTGAATAGCGGTGCAGTCCATTTTACCATTAAGGGGTCGAGGGTATGTAAAGCGATAAACTGCTGTCAGTCTACTCTTGCTCTTCTGGAATGGGTTCTATTTGCTATTTTGTGGTTGACGATTTCCATACACAACCCAATACAACACTCGAAATTATTTTGTGTTTAATGATAAAAAAAACACACCAAAAGGTTAATTTCTGTCCTAGCATAGGTTCTGTGTGTGTGAATATTTTATGGATAATACGTTTGTGCTGTCCTCGAGGGGAATGAAATAACGTTATGTAAATTCAAAACGGGGTACTAATAAATAAATCAAACAAAACTTAGTAATTTGATTGCTCAGTGGTAGTTTATCTGCTATTTGCTACATGTAAGTCTCTTGAATCTGCTACTCGTCATCAATATCACTGTCATCAGTATCGATGCAAAGTTCGACGACTAGTTTTTCGATTTCATCCTCTAGGGCAATTTCTCGATGACAGTAATGATCCTCAATTTCCATCACATGTCTGCAACAGTCTAACCATTCGTTCTGGCCAAAAGATGACAATCGTTCTTCGCAAGCCCTCTGTACAGAAGCCATTTTGAAATCTAAATTCTGGAACCCAATCCAATTTTTCAAATTTGCCCAAATTAATTCTATGGCATTGAAATCGTCGTGATAATAAGTCATCTTCTATAGCGCACGTTTCCAAACACCAAGTGATTGCTCGCAGCGCTTAATCAGAATCTGATTCTTATTACCCCGGATAACCCAAGCTGCCTGTTAGGCGCTAGAAGGTTATAGTCACATGACTTTATCCAACCGGGTACCCATTTTCTGCTGGGTGAACTGAGGCAATTTGAACAAACTCACTTGCCTAAGGTGAGACCACATGTATCACATGTGCTTCGTTGTGGGGCAGGACTGAAGTCCTAGAAACTCTCAGGAGTCAAGCTGCCAAACACGGTCACCCATCCAAGGATTGTCTGAGCTCGACTTTGCTTAACTTCAACTGATTCGTGACCAGAGCTCTGTGCACATGACCACGCGCCACCACAATAAGGAGGTAATCGGAGAACAGTATGCCCATGGGTTTTCAGAATTTCATCGACATGATATACGGGGCCGTGCGGGCATGATTTCACAAGTGCAAGCAATTCAGCCTTCAACATTGAATGTGTGAAAGGTATATCATGCCTTTGTAGCCACGATTTGATTTCATCTTTCCGATTGGCAGTTGTTGGAGCTTTGTCTGTTTGTTTGCTATGGTAAGGGGCATTGTCCATTATAACTACTGAGTTTTGGGGCAGATTAGGAATAAGTTTTTTCTTGCAACCACTTAGAGAAATTGTTGAAATTCATTTCGTCATGGTAATCGACGCTCTTTTTTTTGGCTTTAAATATCAAAGAAGCATTAGGAATGAACCCTTCACATGTACCAGCTAGGGCTGGGACGGATACTCGGGTACTCGAATCCGGGTCGGGTACAGCTGGAATCGAGTCCTATTTCAAGGAATCGAGTACCCGGAAAGGGAGAGAACTCTGTAATGTCAAGGGAATGTAACTCTAACCTAGAGCAAAAGTGCTAAGTTGAGTGTTTGGGCTCATTTTGAGCTTGATGCAAATGGCAGAACCAATTGGCGACTGCGTGTACCATGCTATTTATTGTAGAAACACAACGTAAAACACAACGTAAAACACGAAGGTGTTCATTACATTGTGTAACTCTAATTGCTTATTAAGTTAGTTCATAAAAAGCTGTTAAGACTACATTGAATGTTGTCTTTAGTTTATATTTCATTTCAATTTCATGAGACACATATTTTACTTCTGCGTCAAAGCTGAATACATTCACCATAAAAGAGATTGTAATTAAATGATTGTATGTGTTGGGATTATCAATTAAAACTGATAAATTAACATAATAAAAAACGAGCGTTTATTGAAAGAGCACGTTCTGATTTGCAAATTCAATGTTCGGCTGATTATCATGACAATAAGAAGAAAGATAATCAGAAATATATAGAAACACAACTTCCAATGAAGAACTCAATGTTCACTTTTATACAAATTTAGAATATTTAAATAACAATAGTTTTGTGCTGTTTTTGTTTATCTAAGCGTAAAAAAATATAGCATTTAGATGCATTTCTTTGTCGCTACATTCAACAAAGTATTTTAATGCAACTTTTAATAACCTTCTGGAAGGATAAAACTTTAATTACGGTTAATGAGTTATTCCACGGCCCTGTATTTGTCTGTACTCTGCAATGTATAATAGACACACTGTAATGCAACTGACTTAGCGCTAACAGAGCAAAATGACCAGTCTTCCCTCATGCGGCGAAGCATTTTGCTATGCTGCTAACTCAGTTGCATTACAGATTGCCGATCTGTATATCTCGTATAGAATTTTTCCAGTCAGTAAATCCATCACATTTCATTCTATGTAAGTTTACATAAAGTCCCAATGTAAAACATTATAGGTTCAGTTAGAATATCACATCTGAAAGTAGTTCAACAACAGAATAATTTGCCTTTTTCATTGACGTAACACACATTTAATTACATCTTTGGTATTGTCCGGATAATGGAGGTTATTAATAACGACTGTAATATATCTGCACATGAGCAATGAGTTGTCAAGTCATAGTGGAATGTAAGTTAGTAATGGTGTTGCTCTTTGTATCAGTTAAACAGACGTAAATTAAGTAGTTTAAGATCAGTTTCAATGTCTTATTGCCATCCTTTCATGTTTTCTATAAAAATCTCTGTCAAATCGTGATTGAATATTCAGAAAGTTGACAGAAGCGCTTTATTCTTGACGTTTCCGGGTACTCGATTCCGATTCGGGTAAGAACATGCGGGTACTCGATTCCATTTTTTCCTACCCGTCCCAGCCCTAGTACCAGCATGGACTATAATTAATCTTGGACCTGTCCCCGATGGTACCCGAAAACCACTCCCTCCTCATCAGTTTGCCAACATTTTGATACTGTGTGATGGGCGTGTACACATGTTTCGTCGATGTACACGATTGGACGGTGTTCTTTACGGTACTAGCAAATCATTCTGAGAATTCACAAACGCCATGCAACAACGTCTTTTCGCTCCATTAGGACCTGTCTGAATGAGTTTTCCGCCATTTGAAACCAATTTCTTAAACATTTACGCATTGTTTCTTTACTCCCTGTATATCCCAAATCATCAGTAGCCATTTTCATAATGCTTGTCAGTGTTGGCATTGTCTTGGTTACTGTGTAGCAGTGTTGAATGTACTGACGAATTGCGCATTTATCAAAATCATCAAATTCAATTTTCTCTTCGGTACGAGTACGCACTTTCTCTGTGCTTGTGAACTTACTGGTACCCATCGTGGGAACGCATTTACCTTCGTCATGTATTTTGTGCAAGGTACTGACAGATATACCAGTAGCATCGCTGGCTCTTTTGAGTGCACTGTGTGTGCTGTCGGAAATAGTACACATGTACTGAATGACATAGTAGGCAACCTCACGTGTTTGTGAATGAATGACTTGACCCCGTTTACCCAATTTAGAGTGCGACATGATGAGTTTCAAATACCTGCAGAGTTTTTACTCTTTTAACAGTCCACTTTACAAGATACTAGTATACAAATGCTTGAGCAGAAACATGACACTTCCGAATCATTGCGTAGAAAGTGATTACTGCAAGGATCACAAAAATCATGTGCGCGAAGTTTTCACACCTGTTCCCCCTTTGAGTGGGTAGTGGATCAGTTCACGGCACGCTGCCCCCTCTCCTTTCACAAATGCGTATTTCGCGCACCTGATTCTAATGTTGGTTGGACAGTTGGACCTTTCATCATCTGGAATTATTCGAGTTATATTTTTGGATCTGCTTACTAGTACTACACCCTTTCTCTCAAAGCTGAACTTGCTTAATCAATGTCTATTTTTCAGTAGAACATATACATGCTTTTTGGAAGAAGTCCATAGCATGTTTCTGTTTTTTACTCCCTACTTTTATCATGAGATAAAGGCCTGGGTTTCTACATGTACTCATGATGATTGAGAGTTTCCTTCATGTCGCCTTTTACATGTGTATTTTCTTACTTTTCAGTTGATGATTTGTACGACCTGTAAATATGTGGGCAGTATATTTCCTTCTTGGTGTTCTACTATTTACGATTCCAGAGTGTCATTCCAAGTTTAAATCTGGTTGGTAAAACTGCATTCATTGTACATACATTTTTTAATGAACTAGACTTGCCCATTTCCTCTTGGTCTATACTCTTCTAAATGCTAGTTGCTAATCAGTTTGCTGATCAAGCAACTTGTAGACTTTCCCTTCATCTCCCCCCTCTCAGAGATATATGACATTTGGTTACAATGGTGAGGATAATGTGCAAATCCGGTCCAAAGATGATAAAACTATGAAAGGATTACTACTATTATATCCCATGAAAACAATTTCTTAAGAGCCTTAGACATATTTGTGAAAGAGACTGGGCCAAGTCTAACCCAGCTAACAGTGATCTGATGTTTGATGTCTGTTTACTGCTACATAGTTTTACAATGAAAAAATGACAACATACTTCCTGGTATGGTTCAAGTTGTTAAATACTCTTAGATTATAACAAAATATCAGTTCTGCTATTTTTTGTGTGTGTAACAATCAGAAAATATGTTTACAATGTTAACAGTGTATCACAATCATGTCATGTTCATAAAAGACACAGCATTGCAGATTATTTGTATCAGGAGTAGTATTCAGTTGTTACACATTTATACTTTTCAGGTTATATAAATTGATGTTAAGTAATAGTAAGATAGGCAGTGGTTGATATGATGGCTTATACCATGCTTCAGTAGTACAGTGTCCTGAGTTGGTGTCCTTCCTGAATGGCGAGGTGAAGCAGGATCTGTACAATGGACAAAGGAAGTTCAAGTGCAACCCAGGCTACAAGATGGTAGGGGATGCCAAGCAAGTGTGTGGAGAAACAGGGCAGTGGCAGCCCCCTTCAGGGCCTGTTTGTGTGCAGGCTGTCGTACAGTCAGGTAACATTTGGCTACACTGGACCTCGAGACACATTTATAAACTAGCCACAAAAAGAATATCAAAATATATATTGGCACTATGCATGTGCACACAAATACAGATGTGAAGACAGTAATTAGTTGTGTTATGTTATGTTTTCATCACAGGCATGTGCAACACATTTGTGCATGAGCAACTTAATAAAAGTATGTGGAAAGTGTGAATGTCAAAATCTGCTGTCGATTTGGGATTTCTTTCAAACATATGTGACCTACTCATGTCTAATATTCTTTAAAAGGATCAATGCATTCAGCTTGTTTAGGACGTTTTATGTTCTACATACAGATGTGGATTTGCAGCTACTATTCTATGTGTAACACATTCCATCATGTCCGTACCTCCTATATGATTTAATGAACAGTGTTTGACGCAGTGTTCAGACACTTCTTACCAGGAACCCATGAAGCATATCAGTTCTGGTCTGCATGTTTGTAGAAAGGGATAGAGATAGTTAAAACCACACAAACACTCATTTGGATCACAATCCTGACAATTTTATTGTAGTAAAAACCCTTTGTATCATTACAACTTATTCCATTCTGTTTGTATTTGTTTCACTTAGTTTGTTGTGTATTTGTTAACCAGATTTAACATTATATTTTAGTCATGAATTCATCCATAAGTGAGATCTGTAGTTGAACCCCCAAAATTAACCTATTCCTTAAAAAAACCTTTGTGAATTTACAGGTCAGTGTGTGTACAGTGGAAAACATTACAACCATGGAGAAGTGTTTAGTCCCAGGCTCTGTGTAACATGCACCTGTAATGTAAGTGGACCACGTGATCTCCTACCAGCAGCCTTTAACAAGGGGGAATACTGATCAACAAGGGGGAATACTGATCAACAAGGGGGAATACTGATCAACAAGGGGGAACACTGATCAACAACCCCCAGGGAACACTGATCAACAAGGGAATAACACTGATCAACAAGGGGAATACTGATCAACAAGGGGGAACACTGATCAACAAGGAGAACACTGATCAGAAGAAGGAATAGTGATCAACAAGGGGAACACTGATCAACAAGGGAATACTGATCAACAAGGGGAATACTGATGAACAAGGAACACACTGATCAACAAGGGGAACACTGATCAACAAGGGGAATACTGATCAACAACAAGGAAACACTGACCAACAAGGGGAACACTGATCAACAAGGGGAACACTGATCAACAAGGGGAATAGTGATCAACAAGGGGAACAGTGATTCAGAAGAGGGAATACTGATGAACAAGGAGAATACTGATCAACAAGGGGAATACTGATCAACAAGGGGGGAACACTGATCAACAAGGGGGAACACTGATCAACAAGGGGGAATACTGATCAACAAGGGGAAACAGTGATTCAGAAGAGGGAATACTGATGAACAAGGGGGAATACTGATCAACAAGGGGGAACACTGATCAACAAGGGGAACACTGATCAACAAGGGGAACAGTGAAACTGATTGATTCAGAAGAGGGAATAGTGATCAACAAGGGGAATAGTGATGAACAAGGAGAACACTGATCAACAAGGGGAATACTGATCAACAAGGGGAATACTGATCAACAAGGGGAACACTGACCAACAAGGGGAACACTGATCAACAAAGGAACACTGATCAACAAGGGGAAACAGTGATTCAGAAGAGGGAATAGTGATCAACAAGGGGGAACACTGATCAACAAGGGGGAACACTGATCAACAAGGCGGAACACTGACCAACAAGGGGAAACAGTGATTCAGAAGAGGGAATAGTGATCAACAAGGGGGAATAATGATGAACAAGGGGGAACACTGATCAACAAGGGGGAATACTGATCAACAAGGGGGAACACTGATCAACAAGGGGGAACACTGATCAACAAGGGGGAATACTGACCAACAAGGGAAACAGTGATTCAGAAGAGGAATAGTGATCAACAAGGGAATAATAGTGAAACAAGGGGAACACTGATCAACAAGGGGAATACTGATCAACAAGGGGAATACTGATCAACAAGGGGAACACTGACCAACAAGGGGAACACTGATCAACAAGGGGAACACTGATCAACAAGGGAATGCTGATCAACAAGGGGAATAGTGATTCAGAAGGGGGAATACTGATCAACAAGGGGAACACTGATCAACAAGGGGAACACTGATCAACAAGGGGAACACTGATCAACAAGGGGAACACTGATCAACAAGGGGAACACTGATCAACAAGGGGAACACTGATCAACAAGGGGAAACAGTGATTCAGAAGGAATAGTGATCAACAAGGGGAATAGTGATGACCAAGGAGGAACACTGATCAACAAGGGGGAATACTGAACAACAAGGGGGAATACTGATCAACAAGGGGGAACACTGACCAACAAGGGGGAACACTGATCAACAAGGGGGAACACTGATCAACAAGGGGAATACTGATCAACAAGGGGAATACTGATCAACAAGGGGAACACTGATCAACAAGGGGAACACTGATCAACACTGATCAACAAGGGGAATGCTGATCAAGAAGGGGAAACAGTGATTCAGAAGAGGGAATAGTGATGAACAAGGGGGAATACTGATGAACAAGGGGGAATACTGATCAACAAGGGGGAACACTGATCAACAAGGGGGAACACTGATCAACAAGGGGAACACTGATCAACAAGGGGAAACAGTGATTCAGAAGAGGGAATAGTGATCAACAAGGGGGAATAGTGATGAACAAGGAGGAACACTGATCAACAAGGGGGAATACTGAACAACAAGGGGGAATACTGATCAACAAGGGGGAACACTGACCAACAAGGGGGAACACTGATCAACAATGGGGGTGCTGATCAACAAGGGGAAACAGTGATTCAGAAGAGGGAATAGTGATCAACAAGGGGGAACACTGATCAACAAGGGGGAACACTGATCAACAAGGCGGAACACTGATCAACAAGGCGGAACACTGATCAACAAGGGGGAATACTTATCAACAAGGGGGAACACTGATCAACAAGGGGGAATACTGACCAACAAGGGGGAACATCAACAAGGGGAATAGTGATGAACAAGGGGAATAGTGATGAACAAGGGGAATAGTGATGAACAAGGGGGACACTGATCAACAAGGGGGAATACTGACCAACAAGGGGGAATACTGATGAACAAGGGGGAATACTGATCAACAAGGGGGAACACTGATCAACAAGGGGGAACACTGATCAACAAGGGGGAACACTGATCAACAAGGGGAAACAGTGATTCAGAAGAGGGAATAGTGATCAACAAGGGGGAATAGTGATGAACAAGGAGGAACACTGATCAACAAGGGGGAATACTGAACAACAAGGGGGAATACTGATCAACAAGGGGGAACACTGACCAACAAGGGGGAACACTGATCAACAAGGCGGAACACTGATCAACAAGGGGGAACACTGATCAACAAGGGGGAACACTGATCAACAAGGGGAACACTGATCAACAAGGGGAAACAGTGATTCAGAAGAGGGAATAGTGATCAACAAGGGGGAATAGTGATGAACAAGGAGGAACACTGATCAACAAGGGGGAATACTGAACAACAAGGGGGAATACTGATCAACAAGGGGGAACACTGACCAACAAGGGGGAACACTGATCAACAAGGGGGAACACTGATCAACAAGGGGGGTGCTGATCAACAAGGGGAAACAGTGATTCAGAAGAGGGAATAGTGATCAACAAGGGGGAACACTGATCAACAAGGGGGAACACTGATCAACAAGGCGGAACACTGACCAACAAGGGGGAACAAGAAGGGGAAACAGTGATTCAGAAGGGGGAATACTGGGTGCCGTTGTACACAACCACCTTAGTGCTAAGGCTATCTTTAGTCTACGTTAATGAATGGGAGTTACGGTAACCTTAGCGCTAAGATCGCTTTGTACAACGGCACCCTGATCAACAAGGGGGAACACTGATCAACAAGGGGGAACACTGATCAACAAGGGGGAATACTGATCAACAAGGGGGAATACTGATCAACAAGGGGGAATACTGATCAACAAGGGGGAATACTGATCAACAAGGGGGAACACTGATCAGCAAGGGGGAATACTGATCAACAAGGAGGAACACTGATTAACAAGGGGGAACACTGATCAACAAGGGGGAATAATGATCAACAAGGAGGAACACTGATTAACAAGGGGGAATACTGACCAACAAGGGGGAATAATGATTAACAGGGGGGAATACTGACCAACAAGGGGGGAATACTGATTAACAAGCAACAGTCAAGTGCTAAGTGTAAATTGACCTGATGTACATAGTGACTGTTGTCATTGTTACCGACTGAATGGCAATGGGATGTTGATCAGAACTAAGAGTTGTTTCTGTGCCTTGTATGTTCCATCATTTCATGGATTTTATGTGATTATGTTGAAAGCTGGTTCAGTGGAGTTAAATGGGGTAATATTATCCAGCAGAAAATAGGTACCCAGTTGGGTATGTCATGTGACCAGTAACTTTCTAGCGCTGCAGGCAGCTTGGCTTATCCAGGGTAATAATAATCAGATTGTGCCTGCACTTTGAGCAACCAGAACAGATGGAAAATAGCGCATAACAAATGCACTTATTATTATTATTATTATTAACTAGGCGTGGTAGGCTGAACAAAGGGTTTGTGCTTGATGCCATTAACATGATTAAGGATGAGGGGAAAGTTTCACATTTGTTTATCTCTGCATGTAAAAGTCAAGCAAGTACTTAAGTAAGTATGTGTGACATCTTGTCCTTTCAGCATGGGCAGCTGATATGTGAGAGACAGAATGTGTGCCCACAGCTCACCTGCCCCAAGACGAGCCAGATACAGGTGCCTGGAACATGCTGCCCTGTCTGTAAAGGTGAGCTTTACGTATTTGTGTTTCACAGTCAGTCGGTATCCCAACTGTAAAGGTGACCTTTAGCCAATCATGTTCTCTCAGTGTATAGGTGACTTTGTGGACATCTTGCCCAGGATAGACTTGTCCATCTAGAAATTATATTATCTGCTTCTTTGGAGTAAATTGTTTTGTTAAAGCTGTTTAAATGGAGCCATTCAAATGATGCCACACTGATTTTGTTTTGGTGTTGTGGAACCTAATGGAGCCTGCTGCTTGTTTGGTGGCCTCAATAAGGGGACACAACTCCAGCTCTTGTACAGGTCATGTATGCATATTGAAAGGGGGGATAACTTGACTTGTTCATCATTTTTAATGTAGTATTTGATGGACGCTGTTGGAAACAGATCTTGTGTATTACATGCCATGTTCTCTATGATTCCCAGAGCATGCACGCATTGGCCGTTGTCAGCCTCCACACTTTCTTAACGCGAAGATCCGCTTTGACTCGTGGACCCCTGTCAACCAGTCCCAGAAGGCTACAGTGGTGTGTGATCCTGGTTATACTACTGTCACTGAGGGTTACAAGGAGAGCTTCCGCATCACCTGCAGCAACATCGGCCTATGGATCATGGAGGACGGGATAACTCCGCTGCCACAATGCTTAAGTCAGTTGCTTCAACCTGCTGTAAACTGTATACGTGATAAGTTGCACTGACATCAGATCTTGACTTGACCTCCTCTGGAGCATGTAATAAGATTGATGTGTGATAAACTTGTTATGTACCCCTGACACTGCCTGTATGACTGGACCTGAAGATCAACATCACTTTTGGAATATGTGACCATGATGAACAGATGAAACAATAAATGATTTAAATGTTGCTTGGTATTGAAATATTCTTCAGGCATTTCATTGCATATTTTAGGGGGTGTTCGTTGTTAGGGTTGGTTATCTAGGAAGAAAGTTTGGAGGACCAGCTTGCAGTTATTATTACCTTTAATGCAGTCAGCTATATGGGTTGATCTGACTGCTGCCTGTTACACTATCTATGTTTTCCATGTGTCATGTATTGTGGTGTGAATGGTTCCGTTATCTACGTTCTGTGTGTGAACGTTTTCCTGTTCTGGGTTCTCAGTGAAGCGGTGTCCCCTGGCCCCGACAGTGCCCCATGCTGTGTATCGGTACCGGTCTTACCCTCCTGTTGTGGGTGAGGGCTCCCAGATCCTCTACATCTGTAATGCAGGCTATGAGTTTGTGGATCCCAGTGCCACCAACCTGACGTGTCATCGAGGTGCATGGATTGGACCCATCCCTCGCTGTGGTAAGTAGGCATTAACTAGCACATATACAAGCACACAGTATCCATTGTTTATCATTTGGAGGCCATGGAAAAAACGTTTTCTGATCTGGAAGTTAAGCTCATATGCTCATGATTCAGCCAGCAGGCCACTTCAATGAATCTGGAATGTTTTTAACTGTGGCGCGCCTGGCAACGTCCATTGGATCTCGTTCTCCGGTCATGCTGAACAAGACATACCAGTATCCACCTCTGCCTGGGCCCCCACATCGTTGACCATAAACATGTCATGTATTCTTACATTAACTCACTGTACTGATTTCTGTCATTGTTTCAGTTAAGATGCAGACTTGTCAATCCCCTCCTGATATAAATGCTGGCTACTTCACAAACTCACTGACCACAAAGAACATCTTTGGCAGCTACTACATTGGGTCAAAAAGGTGACCTACAAGTGCCATGATGGCTTCCAGCTGATGGGCTATGAAGTCCTCGAGTGTCTCAGCTCCAGTACCTGGTCCAGTATCCCTCCCCAGTGTCTCCCAGCCGGAGGTCAGTCACTCATCTGCCCTCTAGCCTTACCTCCCCCAACCAACACACACACCAGTACCCCACTCAGTGTCTCGGCTCCAGTACCTGGTCCAATATCCCTCCCCAGTGTCTCCCAGCCGGAGGTCTGTCACTCATCTGCCCTCTAGCCTTACCTCCCCCACCAACACACACACCAGTACCCCACTCAGTGTCTCGGCTCCAGTACCTGGTCCAGTATCCCTACTCGATGTCTCCCTTGGCAGAGGCCAGTCACACTTAGTCTGCCCTCTGTCCTTACCCCGCCACACCCCAGTACTCCATCTCAATGTCTCCCCTGGCAGAGGCCAGTCACACTTAGTCTGCTCTCTGTCCTTACCCCCCAAACCCCAGTACTCCATCTCAATGTCTCCCCTGGCAGAGGCCAGTCACACTTAGTCTGCCCTCTGTCCTTACCCCGCCACACCCCAGTACTCCATCTCAATGTCTCCCCTGGCAGAGGCCAGTCACACTTAGTCTGCTCTCTGTCCTTACCCCGCCACACCCCAGTACTCCATCTCAATGTCTCCCCTGGCAGAGGCCAGTCACACTTAGTCTGCCCTCTGTCCTTACCCCGCTACACCCAAGTACTCCATCTCAATGTCTCCCCTGGCAAAGGCCAGTCACACTAGTCTGCCCTCTGTCCTTACCCGCCACACCCAAGTACTCCATCTCAATGTCTCCCCTGGCAGAGGCCAGTCACACTTAGTCTGCCCTCTCTGTCCTTACCCACTACACCCAGTACTCCATCTCAATGTCTCCCCTGGCAGAGGCCAGTCACACTTAGTCTGCCCTCTGTCCTTACCCGCCCACACCCAGTACTCCATCTCAATGTCTCCCTGGCAGAGGCCAGTCACACTTAGTCTGCCCTCTGTCCTTACCCCTTCCTGCGCCAGTACTCCATCTCAAGGTCTCCTGGCAGAGGCCAGTCACACTTAGTCTGCCCTCTGTCCTTACCCCCACACACCCCAGTACTCCATCTCAATGTCTCCCCTGGCAGAGGCCAGTCACACTTAGTCTGCTCTCTGTCCTTACCCCCCACACCCCAGTACTCCATCTCAATGTCTCCTGGCAGAGGCCAGTCACACTTAGTCTGCCCTCTGTCCTTACCCCCGCCACACGCCAGTACTCCATCTCAAGGTCTCCTGGCAGAGGCCAGTCACACTTAGTCTGCCCTCTGTCCTTACCCCGCCACACCCCAGTACTCCATCTCAATGTCTCCCTGGCAGAGGCCAGTCACACTTAGTCTGCCCTCTGTCCTTACCCCGCCACACCCCAGTACTCCATCTCAATGTCTCCCCTGGCAGAGGCCAGTCACACTTAGTCTGCCCTCTGTCCTTACCCCGCCACACCCCAGTACTCCTGTCAATGTCCCCCCTTGAAGTCATTTGATGATCGTTTTTGTCAGTATCTACAAATTGTCATCTTTTGTTTCATTTTCTCACAGAGACAAGTTTCTACTGTGAAAATATACGAAATATAAATTACGGTCACTGCAAGTGTCATCAGGAGACCAGCTCCGACCTTCAGCTGTGCCAGCCATTCTACCGTGGGGTGGAGGTGGAGTGTGGGTGTAACACCGGCTACCACTTGGAGGGCGAACCCCTCCTTACCTGTGTCCAGAGTACCTCCAACCCAATGGTTGGCACCTGGGACCATGAGATGCCCTACTGTGTTCCAGGTACGATATATAGACAGGCTGTCACTTTTAGCTCACCTGACCCAAAGGTTGTTGTTACATTTGCACACAAACCATTGCATTTTAGCCTAGCTGATCCTTCATTTTCAAAGATACAATGTTATCAATAGAAGTATTCAGTGTGAAAGGTTCTGTAATTAAAGTCACTACTTAAGTAGAAAAATAAACATCAACATGTTAAGACACTTGATGTAACCGTTTTTCTGTGTTGATCATGTTAACTGATGTGATGAGGCAATGATTGTGATACTGTGTTTGTTGATCATGTTAACTGATGTGATGAGGCAATGACTGTGATACTGTTTGTGTTGATCATGTTAACTGATGTGATCAGGCAATGACTGTGATACTGTTTGTGTTGATCATGTTAACTGATGTGATGTGGCGATCAGGCAATGATTGTGATACTGTTTGTGTTGATCATGTTAACTGATGTGATCAGGCAATGACTGTGATACTGTTTGTGTTGATCATGTTAACTGATGTGATCAGGCAATGATTGTGATACTGTTTGTGTTGATCATGTTAACTGATGTGATCAGGCAATGATTGTGATACTGTTTGTGTTGATCATGTTAACTGATGTGATCAGGCAATGATTGTGATACTGTTTGTGTTGATCATGTTAACTGATGTGATCAGGCAATGACTGTGATACTGTTTTTGTTGATCATGTTAACTGATGTGATCAGGCAATGACTGTGATACTGTTTTTGACACAGTTGAGCCTGGTGATGTGGGGACAGTGGACACATATTCAACGGGGGACATCACTGACATGCGGAGTCACGTCAGCACCCTGGTCATTGTGATAGCCACTGCCTGCAGTGTCTTGGGAGTTTTGCTTCTCATCATGGTCATCGTTGTGTTTCGACGCCGCAAGCCACGCCCGCACTTGTTCCATCCTGGTACCACCCCACTCCCGTACTCCCGTGTCCACAGCGACTCTATAGATGAACATGACAGGTTGGCACTGATGGCTTATGCTGATGCAACCCGAGTCCACCTCCCAACATACGACGAGGCAACGTCGGGGCACTGCAGACCAAGCGTCAATCACCCACCGTCACAGCTGCCACAAACAAACCCCACCACTGAATTCAGACCACTTCCTAGCATTCCACCAACCCTGCGCACCAACACTGCTGTTGCCGGGGACAACACTAACAGACATTCAACAGTGACAACAAGCACCATCAACAGAGATGGAACATCTGAAATATTTGGATCTCTAGATACAGTCAACGTGAGCATGAGCGATGCCTCAACCTCGGTCACTGTGGAGACGTATGACAGTGGTACCTCCATGAGATCTATAGCATCTCAAGAGGCAACTGCTGGCAGCTTCACTGCGTCAGATGATAACCTGGCAAATGAGGGTAGGTTACAGAAGCAAACTGTGTGGCAGATAGTCAGCCATACAGAAGATTGTAGTCCTCCATCAGTCAGTGAATCAGATCTCCATTGTATGATGATAAACAACATCTACGGCTTAGGTTTGTTATTAGTCTGATTTAGAGTGACACAACACAATAACATTGTATTCAATGACAAGTTCATGCTCTGATCATTATCATATTCATGGCATGAAACAGTCAATTTCATGATGTCCTTTTCAATAACTTTTTTTTAATCTTATCAGTTTTTTCTGATTTTCTTTCTTTTCTTTTAGTTCCCACATTTCTATGGAAATAATTTCTCAGTCGAGGGTAGGGTTTGCTTCCAGGCTTTTACATGAGAACCCTTTCAACATGTTCTGACAAAACTTAGTATATACATTGCTCAGCAACTTGACAACTTGACTTGCTGCCTTTTGCTTCTTTATATCTGTTTGCTATTGTTATATTGTTTACAACCATATTTATGATGTTTATAGTCTCAGCTTGAACTAATGTATCAAGAGAAAGTAGGGGAGGCAGACATGTTTTGATGAGTAAATGCACGTTCTAGTTAACCACATCATCACATTGTGTTGCAAGCATTGAAACAAGGGGCATGAATTGGCCTCTGTGAGTGACTGTATATATGATGTATACACTGTGCATGTGTGGTTGTGTTCCAGATGTACCGCTGCTGGAGAATGCTGGGGAAAACAACACTGACACGTCCAGCGACATCCTGCTGACCAATCAGGAGCAGAAGGAGGAGTAGTTGCCAGGGCAACCTGTAGTGTGTCTGAGATGTACATAGCCTCACTCTGAGTGACAGCTGGGCGAGTGTGTGTGACAGCAGACAGATGCTGTTATGTGTGAAATGTACAAGACTGTGTGAGACACTTGACACAGCACATTGTGAAATATACAACATACACAGTTTTGTGTATGGTAGGTTACAGTGAAACGGGTGATAACAGAACTACTTTGTTTACCATTTGTTTACCGCAGTGATGAAGCACACGTGGTTTGATTGTGTATTTAGACTCCGCCAAGGTGTCTGTTGCATTTGACATATTCCCTAGGCCATCAGCTTGTTGTGTTATTATGTGCTACGATCTACAGACTCAGGACTAGGGGATTCCCCTGGTAGCAGGGAGGTTGTTGTTCTGCCACTGCTTCATGATAAGGTGAAGGTGAGTTACAGGAAGGGTTATAGTGCGTGACACTGCAGTTATACATGGGAATGGGACGTCATTCATAGAACTGACTTATAACCTTCCACTAATACAAATAGTACTGGTCTGTAATGTATGTCATCAGCATTTGTAGGTTCAAACAAGGCAAATTTTTTTTATACAATGTAAGCATAATGTTCCGGTAAGTCATGTTTTATTTCCCAGAGGATGAGTGATCTCAAGAATAAGATGAATTCCTACATTCAGCATACTTCGGCTATCTATGTAAGTGGTAGTTGAAAAAAACGAAAGAAATTCTCTTGGTTATGTCGTGAGGTAGCGCAAACATTTAGAAGATTACTATCAATGTTTGTAAAGGGAGAAAGGTAACCAACTGTATAAACAGAACCCTGATAATGTGTCTGGGCATCAGGGCGTCAGTACATTGTCCACCAATTTCCTCTTACCGTATTTCTCCACGAAAATATGTTTTTTTATTTTGTTCATGATCATATCCAACATCTGTTTGGGAATCTACCGGTATGTGACACAGCACAAATTCATCAGTCAGATCCTATGTCTTATAAATATGTGATGGGCATTTTGGCAACTGAGGTATTTTGTTACAATGCCAGTATGTGTGTATGTATGCAAGATTAATCATGTTATCAGAATCAAATTGCTAAGTAAGAAACCAGTTGAATATCCACATGGATCTGTGTCATAAGGATGTTTTTTGTTTTAGAGATACAAATAGTCCAACATCATCTACAATGATGACTGTAGGGCAAGGCAACCAAGGCAACTATGGCTGTGTTGCTAGACCATGTGGACTGCAGAAAATCATATCAGTGGGTCGGCCACATTAACATGGGTTACCCATTATGGATTTTCGATTCCATTCTTCCCAACCTGCAGAGTCACGTAGGGGTGTGAAGAAGTCATCAGAGGCACATTAAATAAACTTTTCCTTGTGTTACCATACCTCTCTATATGATGATCTGACAAACCAGATCACCTCATGTGAACCCAGAATGAACTTGACCTGCCTGTTGGACAAAGTTTGACCTGTCCATGGCAGTTGGTTAAATCATTTGGCTTCCTTTCATTCACATCTCAGTTCAGAGAATTGATCTTAACAAAACAAACTCTTGAAAAAAGAAAACCCTCAATTTTCATATAGTACACCGTTTTCAGTGAACATGGTATAGATGTGCTCAACATGGTGTATAAACTATCCACTGTAATATAACATTGCTGCTGCTTGATCAGGTTATCTTGTTTGCTGTGATACAGAAAGCAGATATACTGCTCGGAATCTCTGCTCACTCATTCATACTGAGAATTTAGAAACTTTGATTGCTTGATTCATCGGATGCTACTGTCAGAGAGATATTGTGTTGCGGTAATATCCATGTCCCAGTGCCCACTTCCTGCTGTCCTTGATAGAGGTAGATTGGTAAACCTTTCAGGGGACCATCCAGGAGGCTGTGGCACCAGTCACCCATGGAGAAAACACCAGTTGACACTTGGTGCATCATGCCTGACCCAGCTGTTGGAGCATTTGCATAATCAGTCTCAGATCTATAGATATAGATGATGATTCGCTCAGGTCTGGAGTTAATTTGGGTCCAAAAGGAATTGTCAAAGTATGTTGAAGTTGGCTTTGTAGTAAAACCATGTAAATACTTCCTTGAACCCATTGGACACATTATTTATCTTTATCTGATATTTAGTGTTATTTACTGAAACCCGTGGCATTCCGCAAGGAGTCTGATACACAAAACTATAGATGAGTTTATTTACATTATGCATTATATTGCAATAATTTGGGCCTTGAGGAAACCATGATTGATGAGAATGTCTCCCTATTACTCGATACCATACATCTATTGACAACTGGAGCTTGCTGGCATGTTCACTGCAGAATACCGGTAATCAAAAGCCTTCTGAAGCACAATTTTGTTACATTCCTGTTTTTATTTGTGTCAATTCTTGTGCTATTTGGCCAGTGTTTGTTATTTTGAGGCGCTACTGACTTCCTTCCCTGAGTTATCTTAGTGTCTGGGACTAGCCGGGTATAGGAGGTAGGGTTGGGATGGGTAGCTTGGATGGGATGGGTTCTGATTGGGACCCAGGGAGTCACAGGACTACGTAGATAGTTCCTTAGTCATGTGATGTCTAGTTTAATGACAATAACAAGGGTACACCACAAGTCGCTAAATTCTTTCTGACTATGCTTTTATTCCTTCTGACTTTCAAGGCTTCAGCAATGTTCAGGCAACTTCAGTGTATGTATGTACAGATCATTAAGAATAAATACTCTGACTATAAACCAACAGACATCCTGATTTCGGGTCAGTCAGACACTGTGAAACCTCGGAATAATTCTGGATTTGGAGCTTGAAAATTTAAATTTGGAGGAGCAGATTGTTTTTGTCTCTTTCTTAGTTGTAAGGTATCTGAAATGTGAGTCATTTCACTTATCTTGAGTGCAAGGTTAAAGTATATTCACTTATTTTTCCTGAATCAAATATTTACCCGATTTTATTCCATGGGCATTGGCATCTAGTCAGTAACATTTAGTTCCCAAGATAAAATGAGGAACCATTCTAAGGATGCTCTCTGTATAATCGATAATGTTCCATGTTGGATGTTTCATCATAACTGGTGGTTGATTATATGGTACCAGATTCGTTCGAAGTAATACAGATATTACATGTCACTGAACATGTTCTTTGTGGTGATTGTAAAGTCTTGTGTGTGTTTTATTTCTTACCCTCCTTTGTCAGGTGAGTATTTATTGTTTTTGACAATTTGAAATGTAAGTGTTTACCCACGCAGGTAAATGGTACCTGTAACCTGTCAGTCACTGTTACCTGTGGTCCTCTGCCTGGGAGGGTCCCTCCCTTGTGAAGTGCCCTGTATTGACCATATATTGAAGCCAGTATGGCAGGTACCTTACTGTAGACAATCGTACATGCAGCAGTAGGCTCGCAATGAGAACAGGTGAAGGAAGTGTTTTCTGCCATGTACAGACATGTTACTGAAATGTTGTTGTTTAGGTTTTATGTGATAGCTCATGGTACATTGTGTTGTGTATGCAGGATTTCCACAGGCCAGTATCTCTACTTTTAAAGGTTAACATCGAAATAGATATATCTTTTTTCATGTTTCCCAGATCAACAAAAGAAAACCGGATGCTATGTATGTATGGTATGAAGCTAAAAGTTTGAACTACACAACTCATCAATTCCCCTATGTGTTGCTTTCTTGAAAAGCAGCTCGGATTTCGCTTGTCATCTCAAATTGTACCAATGGAATTTGTTTGGGCTCGTTAGTTTAATACGTGTCATTTTTCAGGGAGAGAGGTCACCATCTTTGAAATCAAATTAGAAATGACTATCTACGGTATCCCACCAATCTCCAGTGCTATTGTGTTCTCCACTTGAGTGTGTTTGTACTGTATAGTGTTGTCAGTTAATGTGTAGTCCTCCACGTGTGATGGCCGCTGTTTGATCATCCATTTGCTAGTGTTTATGTAGGTATATCATGGCCTTTCATGTCTACTTGTTGATTTATATAAATGCCATCTTTTGTCTCTAGTAAGGTTTACAGGAGGAATTTTTGTCTGGTTGTTTCAACTTTTATACTTCAGTATTTAATGTACAATATAGTTTAAGAAGGAATTTTGTATTTCTAGAAACATCCGATGTTGAAATAAATGTTAAAGTTTGTCTAAATGTGCTGAGGGTGTGGTCAGGTACCAGCCTCTCACAGGTGAAAAGGGGTTTTTTCTTGATAAGTCTAGATCTGCTCAGGACACATGTCTTCCACATGGCCACAGTTACACGTTGTAACACTGTAGCTTGTTGTATAATTAATCAGAATCATGTGTAGCCAATACTTTCTGTTCTCCTGTAGTCTGATACACCCTGTACACCAGGATCTACTGCTGTACAAGTTCACAGTATGTAAACCTCTTGGTTTTAGTGTTTGGTGTTATTAATTGATTGAAAGGAAATATGAATTGATTTAATGTGATATATGTACAAATTTATGCTGTAAGATTAAATTGAGCAGGTTGTTTATAAAATGAATAGATGATCATTGTAGCAGAATTCCAACTGTGTCATAAATTCTGAAATGTGTTACTGAGTGAAACAAAGGCACCTCTGTGATAGGTCCATGGGACGTTTTGTACAGGTTGCCTATGTCCAGCCAATGGACATAGGGAAATGCTACTTTCCTTCATATACTCTTTACTCCACATTTCTCAGCCACTAATTATTATTATTCATATCTGTTTCCTCTCTGCCTGTATGTATTTCACCTGTTGTATGTGCAGCTCCTGTGTACCTGATGTACAGGTCTCCTCGGAGGGGAGAAGTGACATTTCTACCCTTTGTTATGCAAATGTTGTCAAGCTTGATTGACGTGCATTTTCATCTAGCCAACCCCCAGCAATACATTCTAATGGTTGTTGAGCATTGTAGTGCACCTTATAGTGTCGACTTCCTCATTTATATATGTAAAATAAATTATGTCATTTTTAAATAGTTAATAGTTGTATGTGATAAGTTTTCAAAAGATGGGGCTTCAAGCATGCAAAGTCTTCAAGCCACATGTCTCATCTTTCCTTACCTTCCATGTGAGCAGGACAACACTTCATATATCTATCAAACTTGTGATGCTTCTGTAACTTCCAGTCACAGATATTACGTTGATGTTAATGGTATGGGACAATATGTACAAAATACATGTATCGATCAGTTAAAACAAACAAAATGAGCATTATGTCAAACATCCTAACCAGAGAACATAGGAAGGATATTCTCTACAACGGTGAATTTCATATTTCCAAAGCGTACTGGTACAAAATAAACCATCAATGGCATCATATAGTCAGACTGGCGCATGAAACACACCTGTTTAGCTACAGTTGGACCAACTGGTTATGGGTTAGGTTGACTAGGGAGACTCTATAAGGTAGAGTGTTGACCCTGGTATCTTATCTTCTCTTGGTAAAGCGGAAAAGATCAACCACTGTCCATCGTGCTTGCACGATATTAAAATATTCGAACGATTACATATCGCAAGAACAGATAAGAGAGAAAAGACAAAATGAAGAAACAATGACGTCACGTCTGTGCGAAACGAAACAAAATGAAGCTGCAAGTATAATTTTGAATATCCTAACCAGTAAACACATGAAGTGATCAGCAGTGAACGTTTCCTGCAAATATACCCAGGGTATGATCTTTCGGTTAGATCGTGATTTGCCACTTTACCAGAGTCAAACGTTACATTGGGTTTAGCCGGTGATGTGTGGTCATGTGCATAGAACTCCGGTAACAAATCAGGTGAAGTTAAGGAGAGTCCTTGGATGGGTGACCGTGTTTGACACCTTGACTCCTGACAGTTTCTAGAACTTCAGTCCTGCCCCACAAGAAGCACATGTGATACATGTGGTCTCACCTTAGTGAGTTTGTTTAAACATTGCCTCTGTTCACCCAGCAGAAAATGGGTACCCGGTGGGATAAGTCATGCGACTATAACCTTCAAGCGCCTAACAGGCAGCTTAGGTTATCCAGGGTAATAGAGGACTATTGATTTTGCTCAAGAGGTTAATAATAATATTAATGTGTCCATTTATATAGCGCCAAACTCCGCACTAGGTATGCTCATATCGCTAACAATCAAAGCACATTTTTTTTTTGGTTAAACATACGTACCCCTCTGATAAGTGTTAATTGGCACGGCTCCCACGACCGAAAGCTATGACCACTTTCTAAAATGGCATTGTGTATTTCATAGCTTTCGGGACCCGTGAAGATCCGGGGTAGAATAGGTCTTCAGCAACCCATGTGCTTGCCATAAAAAGGCGACAATCTTGTCGTAAGAGGCGACTAACGGGATCGGGTGGTCAGTTTCGCTGACTTGGTTGACACATGTCATCGGTTCCCAATTGTGCAGATCGATGCTCATGCTGTTGATCACTGGATTGTCTGGTCCAGACTCGATTATTTACAGACCGCCCCCATATAGCTTGAATATTGCTGAGTGTGGCGTAAAACTCAACTCACTCACTCACTCACTCATAGCTTTCGGCCGAGCCGTGCCAATTAACACATATCAGAGGGGTACACAAAGTCCGCTGTCTAGACTACCAGTTGTCCGACTTCCATTTTTGTGGAAGCCGCGGTGGCTGAGCGGTCTAGGCGTCTGACTTTGTGTGCTGGCGATTAGGTGCCTGACTCTGGGGGTGTGGGTTCGAATCCCGGATGGGACTCATCCCCAAAAACCCACTAGAATCTGTACTTTACTGAGAAAGTGTAATCCCAAATATAACATATGTTACATTTGACCACTTTCTAAAATGGCATTGTGTATTTCATAATACACAACGTATGCAAAAACACAAATATAACTATGGCTACTTCATTGAACTTCTTCACAGTCACTCACTATATGGCTGAAATAAAGCCAATATAGAACTTCATATGGATAACATTTTTTTTGATTTCGTGGGTGCGACGTTTCGATACAAATTCTTGTACTGTTGTCAAACAGGAATGACAAATGACGATGTCTTTTTCATTCTTGTCCTGTTGCCATTTGTCCTTCCTGCTTGACAACAGTACAAGAATTTGTATCGATCGCAACCACGAAATCCAAAAAGTTGTTATCATCATGTTTGTTCTATATTGTAGTGTACTTCCCAACTTCTAAATTGCCACTCAAAGAAGATAAAATAATGCCGATGTTAATTTTTAACTGACTCGCTCTTCTCAACCGCGACCCGTACGGTCTCGTTCTTCCACACTTACACAATGAATGATGATAAACAAATACAGCGTCAGTTTGGTTGCCCCACTGGACGTATTCGGTCTCATCGCTCTATTAAGTACACATCAGTGTTCAACTGGAGACAATCCAACTTGCAAGAGGTGAGGACAACACAAGTCAGATGATACGGGTTGTTCGAAAAGATTAGTTCACCACAGTGGCAAATGATTACTTGATTTTCAAAACGTATTCCTTATAAATTCTATGTGTAAAGATTAACATCAAGTGGCGTTTTGTGTTTGATTCAAAACACGCCTAATTAAGCCACACCTGACTGTACGTCTCTGACGGATACTTAGCGTCTACATGGAATCTAGGGCGTAGTTGAGCTAACAGGATTAGGGCAAACACTATATGTACGTCATTAACCACTGAATAACATCAGCAGTCTGAATCAAGTCATTAACCAAAGCTTTATAACAATAGCATTTATAATCATTTACCAATACCTGGAAACTATCGCCATCCATATCAGTTCATTAATAAATGCTAATCAAGCAGCTATAGAGATCATTACCATGTAATTAACTAGTTCAGCCAGCTAAACGTCGTGTTCCTACCATGGTATACACCGACGTTGGTGTATACTTTGTTAGGAACACGACGTTTAGCTGGCTGAACTAGTAATTGTAGTCTGTTTGCAGTGAAAACGTACCGATGAATTTCACTTTAAATAAAAAAGTAAATCAAATAAAGTGAAATGAAGAACATGTAAATCTCCGAATTTTATTCAACTTAGGATAAAAGTTGTTTAACAAACGATCATAGATTCAAATCGCTATTATGGGTTTGTATTACAAGGGGGTAAGCGCAGTAGTTGGAACGTGATGAGCGTTAGCTTAGACTAACCCTATACGTGTTCTCGGTGTTACAATTTTTATCCCCAGTTGAATAAAATTCTGAGATTTAAATGTGTAGTTGGCAAGGTAAAATTATGAGGATTCGCAATTTTCATTTCACTTTATTTGATTTACATTTTTGTTTAAAGTGTAATTCATCGGTACGTTTTCGCTGCAAACAGACTATAACCAGGGAGACTCTATAAGGTTGTAGAGTATCCCTGCTATAACCAGTTTTGAGAAAATATATCGATCAGAATCGTGTAATTAATCAATACTGAAAAACTATAGTCATCAAAATCAGATCATGTAAGAAGACATAAGAGCCGATGATTAAATTACTTGCTGTAAACAGGGATAATCTACAACATTATATAGTCTCCCTGATGTAAATTACGTGGTGAATAAGTAGATGCTGAAATATATACATTTGATTAATGGTAAGATCGAAAACGGTAATTCTATTAATAAAAAATGATAAAAATGAAAATTATATTGATTCAGTGTCATTAAAATAAGATACTGATTTCTAATGAAATGAGTTCAAGGAGAGAGTCGTTGAAGGGCCATGATGTTTTTCAGAGATCATGCATATAGATCGTATATAGATCTATACCGATATAAGGCCTCTCTGTCTTATTGCAGTAAACTTTATTAACATGTGAATTTGAAGCCAATTGTTATTCTAAGTACATACATTTACAATATTATTGATTATTTTTCGAAATCACATTATAACCGAGGACTCCACGTGTTTGTAGTGGATATATAACGGTTGATAAGTCGGCTGTATTGATAAGTCTATTGTGTCCGGATACATAGTCGATCAAGGAAAAAGCAATGAAGGCTCCCTGTGAGCTCCTTGTGCGGTTCAGAGGCCCTCCATAGGAGTCGCCACATTGTTGGTCTAAGTTAGTCACGCGATGTAAGAGAGTAGCGGCCATTCTCGAATCATCTGCTAAATCAAGTTTTGACATGTGAATGGGTTTATCAACCAAAACAGTTACTGTTGTTTACCCACGTGTAGACCAGAAGTAGCCAGACCAAACAGGAAGCACCATGGACAAGCCACAAATTATTGCTCATATTCAGAAGCCTTTGGAATACACACTTTTCGATGCTAAATGGATTCCTTGTTCTGCAAAGTTCGTGGTACTAGGGGGATTTGCAAGAGGAACGGGAGCAATACAGGTGTATGAAGTTTCACATGGCGATGTCCAGCTGGTTCACAAGGTAAGATCTAGTGACATAACTTCAGTTAGGACATCGTAAGCTTGCATATTTAGCCTCTGCGTACACACATGGCATGTATTGGAGTACAATATATTCAATGTGCCTGCAGTGATTCGCGAAAACATAAATGCTACATTATTCGTTCTAGATTGTGTCAGTGGAAAAAAGAACTGGACAACTAAAATTTAACTCCGTATTCTTTACATGTATGGACTAAGGTCTCCGTGGGAAGAACAATGTGTAGCTATTGTCAGTTTGTACACAGTCAATGTATGAATCACTGTTATTAGTATGCAGCACCCAATAGCAGATCTAAATATTCATCCTAGGTTTTTTTCTTCAAATTATCCTATGGTAATTTATTCATCTGGTATAAATCTTTCATAGTCAAATATAAATGTAGAATATGTCTGTTACCTCCACTACAACAAAATAAAGATAGTATGTGTACGCGCGCGCACGCACGCACACACACACACACCGTCTCTCATCTCTCTCTTGAACAGTAAGTATCCATGGTAAACATAAACAAACATGCACGCACGCACACACACACACACACACACAGAGCGCACGCACACATACACATACACATTCTCTCTCTTGAACAGGAAGTAGCAATGATAACTGATTTATCAATTGCATCAAGGATTTTGTCAATTTTTCCAGGTTGAAAAGTCCAAAACATTTAAATGTTCTACATTTGGAGCATCAACACTGCAGCAGCGTTTCCTAGCAACAGGTGATTTCGATGGAAAGATGCAGATATGGTAAGTAATTGCAGCATGTATCTTATGATATGTGTACCATGTCAGCATGCAACTGTGTCCAGAACTTGTTCAGATTCTATTCTGTGTAGTAAGCTCCAAAATATTAGCATGATTCGTCCATATTATAAAAAATATAATCAATGGAAAATTATGCAGAGCCATATTCGGACTAGTAGCTTTAGAGACAGCTTTGTATGCAAATCCTGTCACTGGCTGATAATAACCTGTATTCTTGGTGTCACTGTATGTTCATCAGTGAACATGTACATCCAGCAAACCTAGATATATTAGGATATAATCTGTACAAACCAGTTTGTGTTTTCAACCCCCTCTCTAATATGGGCCCCCTGTTAGAAATATGCATCATGCAGTGCTGTGCCCCCCTCCTCCAATTCTTAAAAGTTCTTGTTATCAGGTGAACATACCATTATTGTTTTTCAAGCAAGGAAGTAAGTCTGTGTTACTGCTATGCCTGGCAATACCTGTTGATTGATTGTTATGGGTGATTTTATTCCTCTTCCTAATTATTGCCCTTGTTTCTCGGAATATCCTAATTATGGTCCTTTTCTATTATAGTTAACTAATAACTACAACATTCATTTGTTGTTTCAGTTTATGATTTCCGTTATCTAATGTTTCAGGAATCTTGATTCCACTGAACTGCCGGTGTATTCAGTGAAGGCCCATAAGGAGATCATCAACTGTATTGATGGTGTTGGAGGCCTGGGCATAGGAGAAGGGGCGTCAGAGATTGTCACCGGCAGTCGAGATGGTATGCCAACATACAGTGGACATTCCTCTTATATACTAATCATGCTAATACTGTTAGATCAGCTTTAGTTATGTGTGCAGGCAATAAGTGAGATGGAAACATTGTTTTCATGTGTTTTAAACCTGGCAGTGGTTTTGGTTTCTAGGTAATCCCTTTCCATTTTCCCTTTGAATCCCTGATGTTTGAATCTTTGGTAAAATGTTACTGAAAACCAAGGGCAGGTAGGTTAGTGTAGGTTTATGGAAGGATGGTTTGGATGGTTCTCATGCATTTTTGGTTTTTCATTTTGTCGTTTTACTGACAAATTTACAACACCAATGAGCATGGGGACTTTAATGTAAATACATAAAACTAAACATTTGGTTCTCAGTGTTGTGGTAAAATTTGACTAGAACTGAAATTAATGGTAATATTGAGACACATGAAAATCAACCATTTATGAATGACAAGTGAATTTGTGTGTTATGAAGAAACAGCTTGGTTTGTTTATGATTTAGAACAATGAATAATGGGCCTGTGAATCTTGAACATGTTGAACATCATGTTTTAGTGTTGAACTTCTTGTAGGGCCTGTGAACCTTGAACATCTTCTGGTGCCTGTGAACCTTGAATGTCTAATAGGGCCTGTGAATATGTTATGGGATCTGTCAGCCTTGAACATCTTGTTGCAATCTTTGTTAACCTTGATTACTTTGTTGTAGGGTCTGTGAAAGTTTGGGATCCCCGCCAGAAGAATGACCCAGTGGCAACAATTGAGCCAGGGGAAGGAGAGACTAAGAGAGACTGTTGGAGTGTGGCTTTTGGTAGGTGGAGTTGTCTCCCTTGTACCATCCCTCACTCATCCGTCACGGGCACAAATCTGTAGGTTGGTTTGGTTGTTGTTTAACGCTGCACTCAGCAATATTCCAGCTATGTGGCGGCGGTCTGTAAATAATTGAGACTGGACCAGACAATCCATTGATCAACAGCATGAACATCGATCTATGTAATGGGGATATAATGACATGCGTCAACCAAGTCAGCAAATCTGACCACCCAACCCTGTTAGATGCCTCTATTAGGACTTGGTTTTTGTATGTGACTCAAACTAATGACAAACTTAATACCCTGTTCAGATGTGTGCTTTTGTCTTCAAGTCAAAGTGTTCCTTATTTCCATTATACAGAGTAAAACATGTCTGATAAATCAGAAACTCAAACTTGATACACGTGGATCTGATGTTTCATGGTTTACAGTAAAATCACATGACATCACTTCTCCATTGCTGCCTGAGGTATTTGGTAGTGGACCCAAGTATTTACTGGAGTGACACAGATGTCATTTGTACATTGTTTAATTGTCAGAATTTGAAATGAAGCTTTATTCCTATTGTGAATCTTTGTAGGCACTGTAATAACAGACAGATATGAAACAACATTGTAGAACTTGCAGGAAGAAATCTCATTTCTTGAAAGCCTTGACATGTTAATATGTTCCTATGATGCCATGTGCATGCTGCTTTACAAATGGTGTGTTGCATGTGTGTAGGTAATGCGTTCAACGCCCAGGAGAGATGTGTGTGTGCTGGATATGACAATGGGGATGTCAAGCTGTTCGACCTGAGGAACATGGCACTGAAATGGGAAACAAACATCAAGAATGGAGTGAGTGTTTATGTTAAAAAGGTTTTTTCTGTAGTTTGAACACTAGTATCCCTGCTAGCTATGGTCACACATAGAAGATAGAAATACCACCACTAGCTTTTAACATAAGCATGGGGTGTGGTGAACCTACTACCCTGGTTAGTCTTGTGAAACTAGCAGCCAGTGGTGGGCCTGGTCACTGACACTCGATACATCTACACCTCATCTCCATAAGCATTATTACCAACAAATAACCAGGTTACTTATTTTATGTATTTGAGTTGATACCATTGATCAGGAATTGATTATATAAACCCTGTTAGTTCAAGAGTCACCTAGCTTGATGTACTTACATAATGATCTTACCTTATAAAGGCTATAATGTCCTGGTGTGTGTGGTCAGGTGTGTGGTCTGGAGTTTGACAGGAAAGACATCAACATGAACAAGCTGGCAGTTACCACCCTGGAGGCCAAGTTCCATGTGTTTGATATGAGGACGCAGCATCCCAAGAAGGGCTTCACAGGTTTATCAGAGAAAGTAAGTACAGGGTGGTTTGTCAGAGAAAGTAAGTACAGGGTGGTGTGTCAGAGGAATTAAGTACAGGGTGGTTTGTCAGAGAAAGTAAGTACAGGGTGGTGTTTCAGAGAAAGTAAGTACAGGGTGGTTTGTCAGAGAAAGTAAGTACAGGGTGGTGTGTCAGAGGAATTAAGAGATTGTGTCAGAGGAAAGAAAGTGGGGTGGTGTCAGAGAAAGTAAGTACAGGGTGGTGTGTCAGAGAAAGTAAGTACAGGGTGGTTTGTCAGAGAAAGTAAGTACAGGAGGAAGTAAGGGTGGTGTGTCAGAGGAAGTAAGTACAGGGTGGTGTATCAGAGGAAGTACAAGGTGGTGTATCAGAGGGAGTAAGTACAGGATGGTGTGTCAGAGGAAGTAAGTACAAGGTGGTGTATCGGAGGAAGTAAGTACAGGATGGTGTGTCAGAGGAAGTAAGTACAGGGTGGTGTATCAGAGGAAGTACAAGGTGGTGTATCAGAGGAAGTAAGTACAGGATGGTGTGTCAGAGGAAATAAGTACAGGGTGGTGTATCAGAGGAAGTACAAGGTGGTGTATCAGAGGAAGTAAGTACAGGATGGTGTGTCAGAGGAAGTAAGTACAGGGTGGTGTATCAGAGGAAGTTAGTACAGGGTGGTGTGTCAGAGGAAGTATGGGGTGGTGTATCAGAGGAAGTAAGTACAGGATGGTGTGTCGGAGGAAGTAAGTACAGGGTGGTGTGTCAGAGGAAGTGAGTACAGGGTGGTGTGTCAGAGGAAGTAAGTACTGGGTGGTGTATCAGGAAGTTAGTGCAGGGTGGTGTATCAGAGGAAGTACAGAGAGGTGTGTCAGAGGAAGTAAGTACAGGATGGTGTGTCGGAGAAAGGAAGTACAGGGTGATTTATCAGAGGAAGTACAGGGTGGTGTGTCAGAGGAATTAAGTACAGGGTGGTTTGTCAGAGAAAGTAAGTACAGGGTGGTGTTTCAGAGAAAGTAAGTACAGGGTGGTTTGTCAGAGGAAGTAAGTACAGGGTGGTGTATCAGAGGAAGTACAAGGTGGTGTATCAGAGGAAGTAAGTACAGGATGGTGTGTCAGAGGAAATAAGTACAGGGTGGTGTATCAGAGGAAGTACAAGGTGGTGTATCAGAGGAAGTAAGTACAGGATGGTGTGTCAGAGGAAGTAAGTACAGGGTGGTGTATCAGAGGAAGTTAGTACAGGGTGGTGTGTCAGAGGAAGTATGGGGTGGTGTATCAGAGGAAGTAAGTACAGGATGGTGTGTCGGAGGAAGTAAGTACAGGGTGGTGTGTCAGAGGAAGTGAGTACAGGGTGGTGTGTCAGAGGAAGTAAGTACTGGGTGGTGTATCAGGAAGTTAGTGCAGGGTGGTGTATCAGAGGAAGTACAGAGAGGTGTGTCAGAGGAAGTAAGTACAGGATGGTGTGTCGGAGAAAGGAAGTACAGGGTGATTTATCAGAGGAAGTACAGGGTGGTGTATCAGAGGAAGTACAGGGTCGTGTGTCAGAGAAAGTACAGGGTGGTGTGTCGGAGAAAGTACAGCATGATGTGTCGGAGAAATTACCTGTGAGACAGAAAGCTGCCAACAAACAAAGGTGTCTGGATGACCTTTGTAATAAAAAGGGAAACTGACACCGATTCCATTAATGCTAGTTGTTTGTAAATGTCAGGGTGTTTTAATGGTGGTCTGTTGTTCTGCCATCTTATTGCCAGGAAGTTCTTTTGTTTTCAAAGGATGTATGTTCAAAATTGAAAATTTGGCCGCAGTGTGAAAAGTAGATTTTCTAAGTGTATGAAAAATGTTATGCAGGAAACATAAAGGGATATTTAGTGTTACACACCTCACATTTGGTGGTACCTTTCTCTAAACTATGTTGACATGTTTGTTGTTAGGCACACAAGTCAACAGTGTGGCTGGCACGGCATCTGCCCCAGAACCGAGATATCTTCATGACAGGCGGGGGCAATGGCTCCCTCAACTTATGGAAATAGTGAGTAGACCATAGAACAGTATAGTGCATACCACTGCCATGAGTAGACCATAGAACAGCATAGTGCATACCACTGTCATGAGTAGACCATAGAACAGTATAGTGCATACCACTGCCATGAGTAGACCATAGAACAGTATAGTGCATACCACTGTCATGAGTAGACCATAGAACAGTATAGTGCATACCACTGCCATGATTAGACCATAGAACAGTATAGTGCATACCACAGTCATGAGTAGACCATAGAACAGTATAGTGCATACCACTGCCATGAGTAGACCATAGAACAGTATAGTGCATACCACTGCCATGAGTAGACCATAGAACAGTATAGTGCATACCACTGCCATGAGTAGACCATAGAACAGTATAGTGCATACAACTGTCATGAGTAGACCATAGAACAGTATAGTCAGTTTAGTCAATGAAGTAGTATTTTACTAGTATTTACAATGTCAAACTTGATCCCTAAATTGTTTATGAATCCCTTGTACCTGTTACACCTGAATGCTAGTAGACTGCACACTGCAAACTGGAATTCAAATTAATGTTGTGATCTTCTTAAATATGTTTGACAGAGATTATGAGCTTTATACTAGATGTTAAACATGTGCAACACTGTTGTGAAGCCAGTCTGTGTCCTGTGTGTGTAAGGTTTGGGCACCCAGTGTCCACTGTCCATTAAGGCTTCATCTGAAATCTCTGCTGTGTTTGTCTCCAGCTCCTACCCTGACAAGCGTGTAGTAGAAGACAGTGACGGTGTCGCCATGGGCGTAGTTGGTTCGGTCAACTTGTTGCAGAATGTCACAATGTCCACTCAGCCAATCAGCAGCTTTGATTGGAGCCCAGACAAGGAGGGACTTTGTGTGTGTACGTCATTTGACCAGAATCTCAGAGTGTTGATTGTTACCAAGCTCAACAGAGTGTAACAGCAGTTCGCATGAAATACCTGTTCATCCTTTTAAGAGACACTTCACAGAATGGTGCATGCATTAAATCACCCACAACATACAGAGTATTTAGTTCTCATTAAAAGCGGATCCTTAACTCCAATATGCTACCTCCCTTCAACTAGATCTAAATAGACTTCCATAGAGGTCATGTCAAGTGAACACTGGGTGAATACTGATTGCCAGTATAAAGAAAATATGTGTGGGTCTTTGAATCAATGTTAAAACTTCACTGCCATTCTCATTTTGTTTAATTGTCACCTTGACTTGGAAATTTTGCGCAAAATAAAAAGAATGCCAGAGATTAGAAATATTCCCTCAATAGTACACTCTTCTGAATAGATGACCTAGGCCACGTTTCACAAAGCTCTCGTAAGCCTAAGATATCGTAACTTTCCTCGTAGCATTCCTACCTACTATACTGTAACATTGACTTACGATAGTCGTAGCGCTACGAGAGCTTTGTGAAACGGGCCGTGGCGCTCAGAGTTCGAGGATGTCTAAGTTATCTACAATAAGATCACTGTTGTTTTCATATTTGATAATGTTGTGTTCTAAATAAACTTTTGTGAGTGCTTCACGCACTTGTACTGAGAAAAAAGAAGACAGGTGTCGTATAGGAGTAAACGATTTGATTGAACTGAGTTGATAGTGTATTTCATGTGGTCACACTAGTGTCGTTTGAGGGGAAATGTTAAGCACCCACCTCATCAGCAATCCGGCCAGTCTTAATTGTATCCTTTGGGGGTTGTTGATAAACTTGATCAATTTCTGGGGTAAATATTTCATTATATGGTAAAAGCATTAATTAATGCTGTCAATTTTACATCTAGTTATTTCCATATTTTTGTACATTTTGCCCTTGATGTGTATATACCGTGTTCACATTCCAACACCATTGATGAGGGAAAAATTCCCCTATTGATGTTTGTCCGTCCAGCGAGATCACAGAGTTGTGGTCCTTGTCAGTCATCTGGTTCTACATCTAAAGTTGTCATAAATCAAGAATCCAAATCCTACTGTTGGTTTTTGTCATTTTTGAATCCAGAAGACGGAATGGTAATCCATTCAGTTTAAGACATTTAAGATGAAGAATTGATGTCAAGGCAAAGCACAAGATGATAGTGCATGATTATTTTTATTACTTGATGACATTCATAATATGAAAAGTATAAAACAATATCACATGACCATTGCAGCAAGTTCCAGCAGATACATATATTAGTGAAACATTTAATCTGTACATCGTTATGCCTTTGTCAACAACATCAAATTAACGGATGTTACCTTTTTGACATTCAACGTAACTGTTATTACACAACTTTAATGCTGTTATGGTCACTCCGGTTCATGATTACAATAATGGTCATGTGTATGGAAACATTTCTAATATATACGTCAGCAGTTGAAATGTGGAAAATGTTCACTAAGCAACAATAGAATGGAAACGCCTCACAATACATATTCAGCAGTAATTAGCAGGTGCTGCCCAGCTGAGCTCATGGTGCTACAATTGAGAAACCCACCGGAATATCAGCTGTTATAACTAACAAAGTATTTAAAATCTCATTTCCTACCCATGTGTTATACATGGATGCTGGAAGTTACACAAGAAGTAATCAAATAGATCCAAGAGTCATAGTTTTCGTTATTTTGTGAGTTAAAACCAGTGAAGCATGTTTATAGTTCTAATACACATTACTGGAGCATGTCTGGTACAGTGTCACATCTGGTAGATCTACCATTACCAAACTGGTAGTCTTCCGTACTGCTGTTACAGTCCAATAATGATTTCCTCAGCATCGTACCATGCTAACAGTATACAGTGAATGTCAGTTAGTGTCTATGACAGACGGTTTCCATTCTTTAGTCTTAGAAAATGTTTTTAAAAATGAGAATTTGTATTTTGAATTATATGAAAATTCCTGGACAGTTTCTTTACCACAGGGAATTCAATTCAGCCACCTGTAAACATCTGACAGTATCAGCATATTCATATGTAATTATAGTAGATTGTCAGTGTCTGATGACAGCCTGTTTCCCTCTGTACAGACTTGCAGGAGGCAGTGTGCACGGAAGAAGTAATGTATTTGACTGTGCCAGATCAGGACATGCAGACACACATGCTTAAGATATCACAGAATTGCGATCAACATTTGAGCTCTGTACACACAGATTATCACATAGTTAATACTGAATAGCCACATCACTAGGTCAGTCACTCTCTGTCAGACCACATCACTAGGTCAGTCACTCTCTGTCAGACCACATCACTAGGTCAGTCACTCTCTGTCAGACCACATCACTAGGTCAGTCACTCTCTGTCAGACCACATCACTAGGTCAGTCACTCTCTGTCAGACCACATCACTAGGTCAGTCACTCTCTGTCAGACCACATCACTAGGTCAGTCACTCTCTGTCAGACCACATCACTAGGTCAGTCACTCTGTCTGTCAGACCACATCACTGGAGGTCAGTCACTCTCTGTCAGACCACATCACTGGGTCAGTCACTCTGTCAGACCACATCACTGGGTCCAGTCACTCTCTGTCAGACCACATCACTAGGTCAGTCACTCTCTGTCAGACCACATCACTAGGTCAGTCACTCTTTGTCAGACCATCACTAGGTCAGTCACTCTTGTCCAGTCAGACCACATCACTAGGTCAGTCACTCTCTGTCAGACCACATCACTAGGTCAGTCACTCTCTGTCAGACCACATCACTAGGTCAGTCACTCTCTGTCAGACCACATCACTAGGTCAGTCACTCTCTGTCAGACCACATCACTAGGTCAGTCACTCTCTGTCAGACCACATCACTAGGTCAGTCACTCTCTGTCAGACCACATCACTAGGTCAGTCACTCTCTGTCAGACCACATCACTAGGTCAGTCACTCTCTGTCCAGACCACATCACTAGGTCAGTCACTCTCTGTCAGACCACATCACTAGGTCAGTCACTCTCTGTCAGACCACATCACTAGGTCAGTCACTCTCTGTCAGACCACATCACTAGGTCAGTCACTCTCTGTCAGACCACATCACTAGGTCAGTCACTCTTTGTCAGACCACATCACTAGACCACATCAGTCACTCTCTGTCAGACCACATCACTAGGTCAGTCACTCTCTGTCAGACCACATCACTAGGTCAGTCACTCTCTGTCAGACCACATCACTAGGTCAGTCACTCTCTGTCAGACCACATCACTAGGTCAGTCACTCTCTGTCAGACCACATCACTAGGTCAGTCACTCTCTGTCAGACCACATCACTAGGTCAGTCACTCTCTGTCAGACCACATCACTAGGTCAGTCACTCTCTGTCTGACTCTCTGTCAGACCACATCACTAGGTCAGTCACTCTGTCAGAGACCACATCACTAGGTCAGTCACTCTTTGTCAGACCACATCACTAGGTCAGTCACTCTCTGTCAGTCACTCTCTGTCAGACCACATCACTAGGTCAGTCACTCTCTGTCAGACCACATCACTAGGTCAGTCACTCTCTGTCAGACCACATCACTAGGTCAGTCACTCTCTGTCAGACCACATCACTCTCTGTCAGACCACATCAGTCAGTCACTCTCTGTCAGACCACATCACTAGGTCAGTCACTCTCTGTCAGACCACATCACTAGGTCAGTCACTCTCTGTCAGACCACATCACTAGGTCAGTCACTCTCTGTCAGACCACATCACTAGGTCAGTCACTCTCTGTCAGACCACATCACTAGGTCAGTCACTCTCTGTCAGACCACATCACTAGGTCAGTCACTCTGTCAGACCACATCACTAGGTCAGTCACCACATCTGTCAGTCCCTGTCAGACCACTAGGTCAGTCACTCTCTGTCAGACCACATCACTAGGTCAGTCACTCTCTGTCAGACCACATCACTAGGTCAGTCACTCTCTGTCAGACCACATCACTAGGTCAGTCACTCTCTGTCAGACCATCACTAGGTCAGTCACTCTGTCATCAGTCTAGGACCACATCACTAGGTCAGTCACTCTCTGTCAGACCACATCACTAGGTCAGTCACTCTCTGTCAGACCACATCACTAGGTCAGTCACTCTCTGTCAGACCACATCACTAGGTCAGTCACTCTCTGTCAGACCACATCACTAGGTCAGTCACTCTCTGTCAGACCACATCACTAGGTCAGTCACTCTCTGTCAGACCACATCACTAGGTCAGTCACTCTCTGTCAGACCACATCACTAGGTCAGTCACTCTCTGTCAGACCATCTTTGTCACTCACTAGGTCAGTCACTCTCTGTCAGACCACATCACTAGGTCAGTCACTCTCTGTCAGACCACATCACTAGGTCAGTCACTCTGTCAGACCACATCACTAGGTCAGTCACTCTCTGTCAGACCACATCACTAGGTCAGTCACTCTCTGTCTGACCACATCACTAGGTCAGTCACTCTTTGTCAGACCACATCACTAGGTCAGTCACTCTGTCAGACCACATCACTAGGTCAGTCACTCTTTGTCAGACCACATTGCTAGGTCAGTCACTCTGTCAGACCACATCACTAGGTCAGTCACTCTCTGTCTGACCACATCACTAGGTCAGTCACTCTTTGTCAGACCACATTGCTAGGTCAGTCATGTTTTGTTTCACCACATCACTGATTCTGAAAGTAACTTGTAAGTAGTTTTTGCGGCCATTAAATGCCCGTTATGACTCAGAAGAATATAAAAAGAGATAACTGATGTTACTTTATCTGGTAAAAATACATAATGTTTTAGAGTAATAACAAAATGCAACACTGAGACACCAGCTACAGAGTTGACTTTCCTCAGACCATGTGACATTGCAGAAAGAATACACTCCAAATAACGGGACTAGTGTCTCAGTGGATTGTCTCCAAATGACTTGAGATTGTGTGACTGTTACCCGTATTGCTTCATGCTGTCCCAACCCTAGTTCTACAGTGATGCATGTGTGCTGTGCATGAAGACCATCCGTACAACCACCATCAGGGTCACCATGAGGGGGAAGCCATGGCTGCAGGGGCTGCTGTTCTGGGCACTGCGTGTTGGTGTGTGCTCACATGACTGCTGCCTACTTCGCACCTGCCCGTTACAGCAGGTGTACTCCTGGCTGAAGTAGGGCACATGTCCACAACAGGCATCCCCATCATACCATGTGTGGTATGTCTGGTTGGTACAGCACATCTGATGAGGGGGCAGGACATCCTCCTGGGTACAAGCCAGGCAGGGGTTGTGTCCGCTGTACAGCTTATAGGCCTGGGTCCGGCAGCATCTAGAGACATCAACACCATCAGTCAGTACGGTAGGTTATCATTACAGTAAGTACTATATTAGTTCTTTTGATGACCATGAGTGGTTTTATGCCTCTTGGGAAAGTGTCTCAGTTATAAAACGGTGCATGTTATAGACAATTACTTGTTTCAAAGCCTACAAGTAGGATTGCCAGGGATTTGAACACATAATCTGTAGAGGCTGGCATGACTGGGAAGCAGCCCTTTACAGCTAATCCTGAGGTTCTAAGTGTAAGATTGCCATCTGTGTGAAGGCACCAGACCAGTGTTTCCAATGCTTTAATTTGCCAGTTGGCCATCAGGGCCTGCTGCCGCCTGCAGGATTTAAAATCTACAGGCCCTGAATGAAATCTGAAGGCCCATTTTGTTAAAGTCAAACTAACAAAAACAAAATAGACTACAGTGTACACAGTTTCACACTGTTTCTACAAAATCAATTTGCGAAGCCTATGACACACAGCGAGGTGTGTATTTGTTAAAGACTGGTGTTGACATTCCTACGCGCAAAGCGCTGAAATACCAGGAAATGAAACTGTAAGTTATTGTAACATGATGGATCATGGATGATTCCCGAATGTTAATAAAGAAAAAGATATGGGAAAGATTCCAGTTGAAAAGAAACCCTGACATAATTTACCGAAGGCCACAAGGGCCCGATACAAAAACAACCGGCGCTGGGCCTCTGGGCCGGCGATTATTTTGAATGCTGCACCAGACCAGGGGTGGATACAGCTTTTGCACACACACACACACACACACACACCCACCCCTCTGGATCCGCCTATGCAGACTATTAATGGGCAGACACATTCTACGCCAACTGGATACTGATTCATGGTCTGCATGATAAGAAGTCACAAGGCATTACAAATGACCTAGTGAAAGAAACAGTGCAGGCTGTATTCCACCTTCCAACATTGAGGCTTACAATGGGTCACATATATTGCCTTCTGTAACATACACTGCATGATACATGATGTAAATGCATGTTGGATGCTCAGTCTGAGTTGTGAAAAGATACAATATCATCCATGGAATGGCAAACAAAGGTCTCTTACTCTGCTTCATGGGATGAGACATTGTGGAGGTGACCCTTGCAGCACATCTGGCTGGTCTCACTGTAGACCGTCTGCTTGCTATGCCAGCGGCAACAACCGAGAGTGTCTCCAGGAGGGAAGTGGTGGACTTGACCGTCACAGCATACAGCCTCGTCAGGAAGATAGTGAGTACCTTCACACGTGTCGTCCAAAGGACTGATCCTGGTCTCAATATCTCCAGTATAGTGGTTGCATGACTGTAGCATATGAAATATCTCCAGTATAGTGGTTGCACAACTAACATAAAATATCTCCAGTATAGTGGTTGCATGACTGTAACATGAAATATCTCCAGTATAGTGGTTGCACAACTGTAACATATAAAATATCTCCAGTATAGGGGTTGCACGACTGTAACATAATATCTCCAGTATAGTGGTTGCACAACAATAACATAATATCTCCAGTATAGTGGTTGCACAACAATAACAAATATATCCAGTATAGTGGTTGCACAACAATAACAAATATCTCCAGTATGGTGGTTGCACAACAATAACATAAAATATCTCCAGTATAGTGGTTGCACAACAATAACATATCAATATCTCCAGTATAGTGGAACTTGTTGGGAGTGCTCTTCCTATTCTGGAGTTATGTTGTACCAGTTATAGCCATATGGATTCTTATGGCAACAACCCTATTGAACACAAAGCCATAGAGAGTCTTATGGAAACAGCCCTATTGAACACAAAGCCATATGGATTCTTATGGCAACAACCCTATTGAACACAAAGCCATAGAGAGTCTTATGGAAACAGCCCTATTGAACACAAAGCCATAGAGAGTCTTATGCAAACAGCCCTATTGAACATAAAGCCATATGGATTCTTATGGCAACAGCTCTATGGAATACAAAGAAATATTGATACTGATGGTCAGTTCTACTGAACACAAAGTCCAATGGTGCCAGGGGATGACAGTCCTAAGCTTGCCATCAAGAAAACAATGTAGGGTGCCTGGTGGTACATTGGTATGTGAGTGTATGCAAGACATGAGGTACCTTTAGTGTGCTGTTGTACGTCCTGATGGTGGAGTCTTTCCTGCAGCAACTGTCATCCTGTGTTGATGATATGTTGACTGGTGTTGTTCCAAAACAGCACAGCTGGTGTCTGACAATTGGGAAACCACCACAACAGTCCTGGCCCTTCCTTAGTGGTTGACTGAGACTGCCTGCAGCAGAGAGGACACACCATACTGCATTTTCCTCTCCATTCAGTGATCACGTGACAAAACACTATAGGACAAAGTGTCTACTCTCAAAATTGTCGAGTATATCATATATCATTAAGACTACTTGACCTGATCACTAGCGGGTTACTGACAGACAACACTTGGGTGTAAAGATGGATTTTTCTGGGTCAGATAGTTAGCAATAGTTCCATTTCCAGTGATGGGGAAGGTGTTTATTCAATGTTTAACAACTGAAGCTCATGGCTGACACCTGCTTACACCATGTTGCTTTACTCCTTAATCTGATCGCTGGGAAAATATTTACAATATATTCCACGCACAACAGTGCTGACCTTTAGTACTACGGCCAGATTGTGTCTTAGTTAAGGCTGAATAAAGTTACCAACCTGAGCAGCAGTAGTGAGTGAGTGTGTTGAAGGGTGTATTGCCACAGCAGCTGTGTGTGCGGGGGTTATATGACTGGGGGCCACAGCACTTGTCCTGGGGGGAGGTTTTGGTCACTGCTCGCCCCATGCAGCACAACTGATGCCGAGTGTCCGGGAAACCTGGAATAATACACAGATAATGTAGATATCACCTGTCATGTGACAATATTGGAGATATCAGATGCCATGTGACAACCGTCATGTGATAAGACTGGAGACATCAAGTGTCATGTGATGAGACTGTAGTTATCAACTGGCATGTGATGAAACTGGAGATATCAAGTGTCATGTGATAAGACTGGAGATGTCAACTGTCATGTGATAAAAATAGAGACATCAACTGTCATGTGATAAAAATAGAGATATCAACTGTCATGTGATAAGTTTGGAGATATCAACTGTCATGTGATAAGACTGGAGATATCAACTGTCATGTGATAAGACTGGAGATATCAACTGTCATGTGATAAGACTGGAGATATCAACTGTCATGTGATAAGACTGGAGATATTAACGGTCATGTGATAAGACTGGAGATGTCAACTGTCATGTGATAAAAATAGAGACATCAACTGTCATGTGACAAGACTGGAGATATCAACTGTCATGTGATAAGACTTGAGATATCAACTGTCATGTGATAAGACTGGATATATTAACTGTCATGTGATAAGACTGGAGATATCAACTGTCATGTGATAAGACTGGATATATCAACTGTCATGTGATAAGACTGGAGATATTAACTGTCATGTGATGAGACTGGAGATATCAACTGTCATGTGATAAGACTGGATATATCAACTGTCATGTGATGAGACTGGAGATATCAACTGTCATGTGATGAGACTGGAGATATCAACTGTCATGTGATAAGACTGGAGATATCAACTGTCATGTGATAAGACTGGAGATATCAACTGTCATGTGATAAGACTGGAGATATCAACTGTCATGTGATAAGACTGGAGATATCAACTGTCATGTGATAAGACTGGAGATATCAACTGTCATGTGATGAGACTGGAGATATCAACTGTCATGTGATAAGACTGGAGATATCAACTGTCATGTGATGACTGGAGATATTAACTGTCATGTGATGAGACTGGAGATATCAACTCATGTGATAAGACTGGAGATATCAACTGTCATGTGATAAGACTGGAGATATCAACTGTCATGTGATGAGACTGGAGATATCATGTCATGTGATAAGACTGGAGATATCAACTGTCATGTGATGTCATGTGATGAGACTGGAGATATCAACTGTCATGTGATAAGACTGGAGATATCAACTGTCATGTGATAAGACTGGAGATATCAACTGTCATGTGATAAGACTGGATATATCAACTGTCATGTGATGAGACTGGAGATATCAACTGTCATGTGATAAGACTGGAGATATTAACTGTCATGTGATAAGACTGGAGATATCAACTGTCATGTGATAAGACTGGAGATATCAACTGTCATGTGATAAGACTGGAGATATTAACTGTCATGTGATGAGACTGGAGATATCAACTGTCATGTGATAAGACTGGAGATATCAACTGTCATGTGATAAGACTGGAGATATTAACTGTCATGTGATGAGACTGGAGATATCAACTGTCATGTGATAAGACTGGAGATATCAACTGTCATGTGATAAGACTGGAGATATCAACTGTCATGTGATGAGACTGGAGATATCAACTGTCTTGTGATGAGACTGGAGATATTAACTGTCATGTGATAAGACTGGAGATATTAACTGTCATGTGATAAGACTGGAGATATCAACTGTCATGTGATAAGACTGGAGATATTAACTGTCATGTGATAAGACTGGAGATATCAACTGTCATGTGATAAGACTGGAGATATCAACTGAGTGACTGAGTTTAGTTTTACACCTCTTTTAGCAATATTCCAGCAATATCACGGCGGGGGACACCAGAAATGGGCTTCACTCATTGTACCCATGAGGGGAATCGAACCTGGGTCTTCGGCGTGATGAGCGAATGCCTTCACCACTAGGCAAAAAAAAACCCCACCCCCAGCCAATATCAACTGTCATGTGATGGAACTGAAGATATCAACTGTCACGTGATAAGACTGGAGAAAGGCCGTGTCATGGTATAATAGTGGTAATATCAACTTGTATATGCCACTACTTGAGATATCAACTGCCAGGTGATGATAACTGAGATGGTAACTGTCAAGTGACAGTGCTATATACTTCAACTCGTTTACATTCTTAGGGATTAGGTCCCCTGTGCTATGAGAACGTGACACTGCAGTATACACACCTTGCCCACAGCAGGCCAGGTGCTCGGCCCTGTCCACCACGGTGCCAACTAGGCTTGAGCCGGGACAGCACTCCTGTCTTGATGTGTTGTAGACTGTCTGGCCACAGCACCGTACATCAGGGTTTAACTCCCCGATGTTGTGTGGGTTAAGGTGGGGGACATCGTGCACCCTGCCTAATGTACACAGATAAATGTATGTAATATAGATACAATTATAAACTGACTCGAAGTATGTTATCTTGTAAATTCAACACAGTAAGGACTCTTTTCCTGTACAGTTTACACTTCTTTCAAGAACAGAAAAATAATGTGAAACGTATTTTTAAAGTTACCAACCATAATAGTTCAGAAACAAATTTCTAGTCCATACTTGAAGAAACAATATGTCAAGAATGGTCAAGCTGTCTTTTCCTTATATATCCTCTGGTGAACTTTGGATACGTGCACTTACCAAGACAACATTTGTGAGTGCGGAGATTGATGTGTTGTCGACCACACACTTGATGGTGGGGCTGTACAGGGAGTTCCTTGCCCTTCATCCAGCCGCACTGTTGAACCCTCACGTCTATCACCTTGATACCACAGCAGCTGAAGTACGGGCCAGACACGTGTGTGGCCACCTTGCCTGGGTTGTCCTCGTCATGGCAGCACAGGGTGTCATGTCTGTTGACCACTTCATCTCCACAGCACTGCATGGCTGGAGGAGAAAATGCTCACATCATCACACTGGCTTACATATCATCACACTGGCTTACATATCATCACACTGGCTTATGACATTATGAAACTGCCTTATCACACTGGCTTATATTACCACACTGGCTTACATATCATCACACTGGCTTATGACATTATGAAACTGCCTTATCACACTGGCTTATATCTTGCCACACTGGCTTACATATCATCACACTGGCTTATGACATTATGAAACTGCCTTATCACACTGGCTTATATATTACCACACTCACTTACATATCATCACACTGGCTTATGACATTATGAAACTGCCTTATCACACTGGCTTATATATTACCACACTCACTTATATCTTGCCACACCCGCTTACATATCATCACAATGGCTTACATATCATCACAATGGCTTACATATCATCACAATGGCTTACATATCATCACACTGTACATTTGCAGCTAAGTTAAACATCAACCATATTAAGGTATGTGGAATCAGAGGAATAATCAGTGAAATGCTCAATATATACTTGACGATCTGTGGCTAAACTATAGAGACACGTTTTGAAGTTTGAAGTAAACGTATCAAAGAAATGTCACCCCCTATTTCCTACAGCATTGCATTGTTGAACTATAGCACCGTGTAGTAGATCCCATGGAGATTCAGCATCTACCCGGGGTTTAACATGAGAACAAAGGAATGTTCCCTTGTGGCTGCAGTAGGTAGTGTGGATGATGAATTGAACAAAACACTGTTAAGACAGAAAGACTTGCTACAATTATTCTTCTGTCAAGAGTGACTTATTTCATTTTATCAAAAAGCATGGAAAAGTGGGTTTTCAATTACTAGTTCTCGTGCAATTATGTCACACTGCAAATGGTCACTTCAAACACTTATACTACCCATCAAAAATCTAGACTCACTTAAAGCATTCACTATATGTTATGTATATATGTGGTTGCACCGAAGATGAATTTCTCCACTAACTTGGGGGAACCAACTGCAAACCTTATGCAGATGAATTGCACGTACGAGGATCATGCATCAAATTTCTGAAATGCATGTGCAAATATCGTGCATGTGAACTGCTGCGTTTTGGTGTAAAGATTTGTTATCATTTACTGAACTCATGACAATAACCTTTTCAACGTTACGAATTTGTTTTACAATACATCAGTTCATGTGTAAACAGTGCCACTAAACATCATGGAATATTTAGCAAAATCTAGTTTAGAACAGTTGACTAAGTAAGTGGCTACATTTACACTAGTGAGCCTAAACTTTTGAAGGTAGTATACATCGGGCGGTAGGGTAGCCCATGGTTAAAGTGTTCGATCCCCACATGGTACAATTTGTGAAGCCCATATTACTGGAATATTGCCAAAAGCGGCGTAACAATAAACGAAACAAAATTCACTCGCTTACTTCACAAATCATCAAAATAGTTATCGATGTGTGAATTAAAACGAAATACAGCAGAAAGCTAAACTACTATTTCTCAACGGGATGTATGTTAATAGTGGCCACCATTTCCTACCGCCTCAGGGTTAAAGCGCTAGCTCGTCACGCCGAAGACCCGGGTTCGATTCCCCATACGGGTACAACGTGTGAAACCCATTTCTGGTGTCCCCCGCCGTGATATTGCTGGAATATTGCTAAATGCGACGTAAAACTAAACTCACTCACTCCCACCGCCCCAGATAGCAAATACGTACTCTCGTTGATAACAAGCGCTTTGTTGTTGCAGCAGGTGCGCTCGACGCGTCGGCCAGAGTCCTTGATGTACCTTGGCATCACCCTTCCCTCGCAACAGATGTTGTGCCTTGGGTAGTAGACGTGATTTGAGTCTGGAACAGCGAGAAAGTTAGTCCTGAGGTGAAGCCCTTCTTTGCAGATGTATTGAAGCTGTTTGCTGTGTTACCAGACAGTCCGTTACGTATCTTGTCACTCATTCATAATAATTCTACTCCATTTCAATCTGTCAGTTCTCATTCAGGGTTTCTTTACATCTGCGGACTTAATACTGAGTTTGTATAGTTCTTCTTTGGTAACGTGAACCATCAATACAGTTAACAAACACCCAAAACAGTTCACGGCATGGAAGAAATACTAGATATATGTGTGAAGGAATACACGAGCGTTGCAAACTCTTACCTTTTCCGTAACAGCAGTCCTTGTCTTCTTGGGGTTCCAAGGTACCCTGGCAACACATCTTGCCGGGTGGAACTGGGACCCATGTGTCATTGATGTAGCACTCCTTGATGCCGTACCCAGCAACACCAGGGGCTGAAACACAAGGACGTCATACAGATGGTATTGTAGTGATGGCGTTAGGCGTCAACTGCTGGGAGTAACTGGCCCCATCCTCGTACTCCAGTTTGAACTCCACTTGCTGAAATTGACCTACGGTTCCAAACTTGGAAGGACGACACACACCTCCAATTTCACTGAAGGGGTCGTTGTCAGCAGTCGTACTACAGATGTGTACCTCAGGTACGTATCTGTATACAGAAACGTACCCTGGCTAAAATCAAAATACAGAAACGTACCCTAGGACGATTCCATTCCTCACTGTGTCGTTTGCTTGATCGGACTGGCATACCGTTGTATTAAATCCATTTAATTGCGTGATATAAGAAAGGTCCATACACAGTAACAAATTTTTCGCGGTGCACAATGCCACTCTCAATCAGTTAATCATATGGTTTCGGTTTTTGGTTGCGGAATATGGACTCGTTCGCCGTTTCTGTATCTTATCTTTGTGTAGGGTACATTACTGTATACAGAAACGTACCTGGGGTACACATCTTCCTTCAGGTGTCCACCATGGATCTGGAAACACGCTCGCGTTATCAGCCGAGGTGTGTGGCCACAGCCGCAGACCCCAACTCAGTTCATTCCCTCGGCAGAAGAAATATTCCCGATAGAGTCTTTGAATGCATTTAGAAGTGATACACACAAAGACAAGACTTTTATGGATGTCAACTTGTTTATTGTGGTGGACACGACGTTTCGGAGTATATCCTGATGAAGGGGTAACAATATACTCCGAAATTCACTCGTGCCTGATGAGGGAGTAAAAATATACTCCGTAACGTCGTGTCCATCACAATAAACAAGTTGACATCCGTAACATTCTTCCCGATGTTAACAAAGTGACTCCCTGATACCACCAGCCTGTTGTTATGTATGCTTTCACTAGGGCCGCAGGAAAGATCGACCTGTCTACCAATTTATTGGCGCACCCGAGGCGCCCGCATATGTGTCTGTGGATACGTCGGGTTTACACATGACGTGGTCTGGAAGATATGTGGCACTCCTAAGGTATGTATGTATGTATGTATGTATGTATGTATGTATGTATGTATGTATGTATGTATGTATGTATGTATGTATGTATGTATGTATGTATGTATGTATGTATGTATGTATGTATGTATGTATGTATGTATGTATATATGTATGTATGTATGTATGTATGTATGTATGTATGTATGTATGTATGTATGTATGTATGTATGTATGTATGTATGTATGTATGTATGTATGTATGTATGTATGTATGTATGTATGTATGTATGTATGTATGTATGTAGACACGTATGTATGTAGGCAGATGTACGTACGTACGTACGTAGGTAGGTAGGTAGGTAGGTAGGTAGGTAGGGAGGGAGGGAGGGAGGGGTGGATGGATGGATGGATGGATGTATTATACACAAACTAGTCCTCGTCAGATATATGTATAGCAGTGCCTTACGAAAAACCAACACAGAAATGCACGTGTCTCTAATATTACCTACAAGAATAATAACGATGAGTTAGGTATTCATCGTCATGGCATTTCATTGTTGATTCATAAAATATTAAATACTCAAGTTTATTTATCGTAGCATGTCATCTTAGCAGCTGGACTCACCATACCAGTGTTACCATGGTTACCTGTACATGTAATTCACGTATGTATGTATGTATGTATGTATGTATGTATGTATGTATGTATGTATGTATGTATGTATGTATGTATGTATGTATGTATGTATGTATGTATGTATGTATGTATGTATGTATGTATGTATGTATGTATGTATGTCTGTATGTATGTATGTATGTATGTATGTATGTATGTATGTATGTATGTCAGTATGTATGTATGTATGTCAGTATGTATGTATGTATGTATGTATGTATGTATGTATGTATGTATGTATGTATGTATGTATGTATGTATGTATGTATGTATGTATGTATGTATGTATGTATGTATGTATGTATGTAGGAACGAACGTACGTACGTAGGTAGGTAGGTAGGTAGGTAGGTAGGTAGGTAGGTAGGGAGGGAGGGAGGGAGGGGTGGATGGATGGATGGATGGATGTATTATACACAAACTAGTCCTCGTCAGATATATGTATAGCAGTGCCTTACGAAAAACCAACACAGAAATGCACGTGTCTCTAATATTACCTACAAGAATAATAACGATGAGTTAGGTATTCATCGTCATGGCATTTCATTGTTGATTCATAAAATATTAAATACTCAAGTTTATTTATCGTAGCATGTCATCTTAGCAGCTGGACTCACCATACCAGTGTTACCATGGTTACCTGTACATGTAATTCACACATGTATGTCAGTATGTATGTCAACCAATATGTATGTATGTATGTATGTATGTATGTATGTATGTATGTATGTATGTATGTATGTATGTATGTATGTATGTATGTATGTATGTATGTATGTATGTATGTATGTATGTATCAGTATGTATGTATGTAGTTCAAAGGAGTACCCTGTAACACATCTTGCCGGGTGGAACTGGGATTTACATGTCTCTCGATGATGTAGCACTCCTTGATGCATTGCCCAGCAACACGGGGGCTGAAACACAAGGACGTCCTTACAGATGAGTGATGTAATTGATAGCGTTAGGCGTCAACTGCTGGGAAGTAACTGGCCTCATCCTCATGCTCCAGTTTGAAGACTCCTTGCTGAAATTGACCTACGGTTCAAACTTGGAAGGACGACACTCAATTTCACTGAAGGTCGTTGTCAGCAGTCGTACACAGATGTATTACCTCAGGTATATCCGTATACAGAAACATTACCCTATTAAAATCAAAATACAGAAACGTACCCTAGGACGTTCCATTTCCTCACTGTGTCGTTTTCTTGATCGGACTGGCATACCGTTGTATTTAAATCCATTTTAATTGCGTGATATAAGAAAGGTCCATACATTAACAAATTTTTCGCGGTGCACAATGCCACTCTCAATCAGTTAATCATATGGTTTCGGTTTTTGGTTGCGGAATATGGGCTCGTTCGCGTTTTCTGTATCTTATCTTTGTGTAGGGTACATTTCTGTACATACAGAAACGTACCTGGGAATTACATCTTCCTTCAGGTGCCGACCCTGGACCTGGAAACGCATCACGCGTTATCAACCGAATTATTATTATTACAGCCACCAGACCAACTCAGTTCATTCCCTCGGCCGAAGAAATATTCCCGATAGAGTCTTTGGAATGCATTTGAAGTGATACACGCAAAGGGCAAGACTTTTATGGATGTCAACTTGTTTATTGTGGTGGACGACGTTTCCGATTATATCCTGATGAAGGGGAGTAACAATATAAATCAGAAATTCACTCGTGCCTGATATGAGGGTAAAATATACTCCGTAACGTCATTAATCCATCACAATAAACAAGTTGACATCCGTAACACGTCTTCCGATGTTAGCTCAAAGTGACTCCTGATACCACCACCAATACCATGTATGTCGGGTTTTACACATGACGTGGTCCTGGATGTATGTATGTATGTATGTATGTATGTATGTATGTATGTATGTATGTATGTATGTCAGTATGTATGTATGTATGTATGTATGTATGTATGTATGTATGTATGTATGTAGGTATGTAGGTAGATTGGGTAGGTGGGTAGACGTGGGTAGGTGGAGTAGGTGGGTGGGTGGGTAAGGTAGGTAGGTAGGTAGGTATGTATGTATGTATGTATGTATGTATGTATGTATGTATGTATGTATGTATGTATGTATGTATGTATGTATGTATGTATGTCAGTATGTATGTATGTATGTATGTATGTATGTATGTATGTATGTATGTATGTATGTATGTATGTATGTCAGTATGTATGTATGTATGTACGTGTATGTATGTATGTATGTATGTATGTATGAACGAACGTACGTACGTACGTACGTAGGTAGGTAGGTAGGTAGGTAGGGGGAGGGAGGGAGGGAGGGGTGGATGGATGGATGGATGGATGTATTATACACAAACTAGTCCTCGTCAGATATATGTATAGCAGTGCCTTACGAAAAACCAACACAGAAATGCACGTGTCTCTAATATTACCTACAAGAATAATAACGATGAGTTAGGTATTCATCGTCATGGCATTTCATTGTTGATTCATAAAATATTAAATACTCAAGTTTATTTATCGTAGCATGTCATCTTAGCAGCTGGACTCACCATACCAGTGTTACCATGGTTACCTGTACATGCAATCCACTATAGCCACCATATATTAAATTGCACACATGTAGTTCCGGGATATAACTGATCTTCCGCTACCATGCTTGTCGTACACGACTAACGGGTCATTTGCTTGGTGTGAGTCATAGTATCCCAATTTCTTAGATCGATACCGCCTCCTTGGTGTAGTGGTTACAGCGTCCGACCGGAGAGCGGAAGGTCGCGGGTTCGATCCCCGGCCGTGTCAACCAAAAGAAGTTAAAATATGGTACTTGTTGGTCCCTGCCTAGCACACGGCATTAAGGGGTACAACAAGGACTGGTCGGCTCGGAGTCAGTATAATGTGTCTGAGTGGGATATTCATGGTATTCATGCTTAACTGCGACGTGGTATCTCAGTGAACTAGCACTATTAAACTGGGTTAAATCTGGGCTAGCTAGTACAAGCAGCCACACACACACACACACGCATGTCGTCATATGAGTGAAATATTCTTAAGGACGATGTAAACCCCATTTCACCTCAGCTCACCTTAGATAGATGCTCTTATTGTCAGTCACTGGATTGTTGGGTCCAAACATCATTTACAGACCGCCCTAATATATTTCGTCGTCAAACAACAAACACAATTCCTATGCTATACACAAGAGAGTAGGAAGGATTGTTTGCATAGACTGTGTAACACAAGTAGAGACCACGAAGACCGAGTAGACTTCTTTTGTAGCAAAATATTGTGTGTTACATCATTGAACTACCTCAACTAGTTTCACCATAGCATAATACCTGGGAAAGAATTAGTCAGACTAAGAGGCGACTAACAGGATCGGGTAGTTGACACATGGCAACGTATACCAATTGCGTAGATCGGTGCTCATGATGTTGATAACTGGATTGTCTGGTCCAGACTCGATTATTTACAGACCGCCCCCATATCTAGAATATTGCTGAGTTCGGCGTAAAACTAAACTCACTCATTCCCCCTAATTATTAGCCGACAAGCCCGAAGGTAAACGATCTGCCGCCTGGCTTAGTTGTAATACAATACCAACGACAGAAACAGTATCACCAGGCTCAGGAGATCAACAGCGCATCACAATAAACAAATATCACTTAGAATCTCCCTGTTATTAATCATTTAATTATGTACAGAAATCATGTTTTATATATCAGATTTCACTGATCAGTCCTGCTAATGCACCCGAAAGATGGATCCTGAAATATCGCATTATATCCTTGAGTACGTATATCATCATGAATCAGTCTGGTCCACCTAGGCCACAGAAGTTTCCCTCTAGAAGTTAGTTTACATTGAAGTCATAGGAAGGGAAATGGACAGTCATCTTTAAATGCTTACTTACCTACTGTGTACATCAGCGTTAACACCAATACTATATAGATAGCATAGTGAACATTTGGCTTCAGCGCAAACATGTTAATCAGCATGAATCGATGTGTGGTTGTTGAAATGACTTACGACGCGAATTTAATGTGAATCACCACATCACGGGGAAAAACCACCTCGTCTGAAATAGCCTTGACATAAAATGTCTTGTCAAAATCCCGAATATTTTCCGCGCCTAGTGGCCTCCCTTACGCAACAAAATTGTTTAGCTATAAAGTAAGTGATAAGCGAAGTTTAGTTTAG